CGTGACCCAGAAAGCAAACAAAGTCAAGCTAAGGAACGCAAAATCTAAAATCCGATCAAGCAGAAGCAAAGCAAAGAAAGAAGAAGCAGATCTCTGTACAAAAAACACGAACTTCAAGGGAATCAAACAGCATTGGTGATAAAACCAAAGCAATCAAAAACTAAAGGAACAAACTTGAAAACCTCAAACTGATCAAATCTAACAGTAAAAAAGAAAAAAAGAACAAAGCTTTTTAATTACCGAGATTGACACTGGACTTCAAAGGTTTTAGAATGGGTTTCTCTGTGAAGAACACTCTTCTTCTTCTAGATCTGAAGCTCTGTGACAAATATAAACTCGCTCACTGTTGAGAGTGAGAGAAAATCATTTAAGCAAAAGGATGGAAATAAAATCTATCTACGGAGGAGGTGGAAGAGACGGAGAGGTGCTGTGGGACCCACTCTTTTTGTAGTACGATAGAAACTCCAATTCACAGCGAAACAAAATCCACCCCTACGTTTTCTGCTTTATTACAAACATGACACTGTTTACAGACAGGAATTGTGTCAATGTGTCTTTTACTCTTCCTTGACTTTGTGCTTTGCTTGTTTGACCACACAAGTTACTTGCCCTTTTTTATTTTTTTTATCTTACAACTAGATTCTCAGAACTGAATTTAAACGTTTGCTTCAAATAATTGTTCTAACTAAACGTTTTTCTGGACAAGATGATAGATTAAAAAAATGTATGAGTTTTTCTTTTTGGAATGAGAAAATTATTAATCAACGGATAAAAAAATTACAATCTGTCGGTATTATTTCTAAAATTTGTAACAAAAGTTGGTAGATAACTACTCCAATGATTTAGTGATGAGTTATCGTAAAACATGTCTACTGAGATATTGGAAAACGGGAAATCTTGAGGGAACTTATCTGATTCCAAATGGTCTTAATTTGTCAATCTGCCAAAAGTAACAGAGGCACTGTGTTATAGCCATCCCGAATTATTCTGAATGGTCTTGCCAGGCAAGTTGAGGCACCGTGTCATAGCCATAAGCCCATAACGGTGGATATGAGCATTCTTCTTATTTTTTTAAAGAATAGAAATCGTCAATTAAAAAGTGAGACAAAAGAGAACGTTGTAGAGTTTATCGATTGTATTGTTTATGAACTCGTATAGTATTTTGGGTACAATTCGATGAGAGAAGAGTATCAAAAAGTGTGCTACGAGTTTCATATTAGACAAACATAAGAGTTAAGCGAAGAAAATATTATTTGCTTAATTCACTCGGTTCATTGAACAACTCAACACAAACGTTGACATCTTTGACAGTATAATTCTTGCATAAATAACTCTATCAGACAAGTTAGGATGTTGTTCAAAAAAAAAGACAAGTTAGGATAATGATTATTTATCATTAGGGGAAATGGTGTAAGATTGGTGAATTTCTTTTCCCACTTTGAGTTTGAACTTTGAACATAGAACAATAGGGGTAGGTTTGTAAATAGAGCTACGACAGGCAGCAAAAGTGATGAGGTCAGAGGGAACGCTAGTTAGTCAAGAAGAAGAGTCCAAATAAAACCAAACTAGCATAGAAGAAGAGTTATGTGACCAAAAAAAGTCACGGTCAATGTTAGTTGGCAAATTTAATTTGAAATCGACATAAATCCTCAAATGTATGTATACCATATATATTAATAAAACACAGTTATAAAATCAAAAAGTGACCAAAAATAACAAAACAAAAGCACCATTTTATATAATTTACTCCAACTATTAATCTTACAAACAATTCTCAAATATAGTAATAATCCTCTTCTTGTGACAAAAAATATCATAATTCAAAAAAACCGATTGCTCATAAAGAAACAGAACATGCCAATCTTACATACATACCTTGATACCTATGCTCTTATCAACGAGTAATGTACTGAATCTCGGCTCGTTCTCTTAACCATTCGAGCACTTTTGCACCTTCTAAAATCTCTTGTACCTATCCACCAAATTCAAGAACCTCTCTTTCAGTCATCTTATAGCTCAAGAAAATGATAATACTTTGATACTTAGATTCACAAGAGAACTAACCTGATCTTTCACACGCCCTTCGTCGTACTCTTGTTTATGTTTCTTGAATTCTGTGATCGAATTCTCAACCTCTTTAACAAGTTCATCTGTTGAGAACTGCATTCAAGCATTTCGACAATGTTTTTGTTACTAAATTGTTTCGTTTCCTTCTCTGAGACAAAGAGTGTTAAGCATATAAAAATACCTCTAAGTTTTCGCGCTTGAAGATATCTCCAACAGCCAAATTCTGCTTGATAATGTCGGTAATGCTCTCTCTTTGAGTGTCTAGAAACTCGTTTACTGCTTTTTGACTTGAAAGAGAAGCCAGTTGCTCTTCGGTGAGCTTCATGTTCCCCTGCAGCACCATGTCACTGAGCATTAAGAATCTGAGTGAAAGTAAAAGAGAGAGAGTGAGGTTGCAAAACGCTTGCCTGAATCTCTAGAAGCCTAGCTCCATAAAACTGTCTTCCTTGTTCCTCAAATAAAGATTGAGGAATCTCTACTTCAACCATCTGAAACAAAAAAGAAGCAAAGGACAATGTTTTGAGAATCAACGATATTTACTGCTTCAAATGCTTTACGGAATTAAATGAATGACCTTTCGAATATGCTCAAGGATGGCGTTGTCCGTTGCTTGCTCCTTGGCTTCCTGCTCCATCTCTTGGCATCTTTTAGTCAGAGTTTCTTCAACCTGTTTACTTGTTTCATTAGAGAATTACAGTGAGAGAAAACATTTTTTATGTATGTATAACTTGTTGAAACTTGACTCAGTGTGTTCATTACCTCCTGTAAAGTTGTGCATCCAGGGAGCAACTTATCGGCAAGTGAATCATCTAATGTTGGCAAATCTCTGTAGAACAGTTCCTTACAGTCGACCTGAAGAAGAAAACAGACACGATTAGCTTCATCCAAGTACGATCTTCCCTTTTGTTTTCATCTCCTTAACTTCATGTCTTGTATATGCAGAAGAACTCACAGTGAACTGAGCGCGTTGGCCACGGAGATTTTCTTGCTTCCATGATTCAGGAAACACAAGCGAGAATGACTTTGATTCGCCTGCTCGAATTCCTAAGATCGAATCAAGGAATCCAGGAAGTAGTTTGTTCCCTTCTTCAGTGTCAAAGTGAAAACCTGTACACATAACCACACATCTCAGCATTTCATTTGAAAAACAGGAAGAGTGGTTTCAATAAAATATAAGATATGGCTCTGTTGTAATATAACAACTTTAATGAACCTTTGCTTTCAGCATCTGGAATCGCTTCACCCGTTGACCCGTCCTCGTCTATAGTTGTCGCAGATATATCAATGACTGCAAGATCTCCCACCTGCATTGTTTTATGATACAATAAACTGAGATTCTCTAGCGAGAGTAAACTATGAACTAATGCAGCAAGATTCATAACCAAGTCAAAAAGAAAGCTTAAATCTTTAGCCTACGAAGCCATAGTGGCTGATCCTAATGCAAGGAGATGGGAACTTATGCACTCAGTTACCTCTAGGCCTCGGTCAGTTACAATCTTCAATGCACCAAGGGACTTGTATTTCTGTCTTAGTTGTCTCTCACAAGCTTTCTTTGCGTCTATCTCATCGCCTAACTCTACAACGATCTTCAGATCTTTATACCCACCCTCAGGGTTCCATTTTAGCTCAGGCACGACATCAACAACCACCTCATAACTGAGGAACAAGAGAAAAACCAGAAAATTAGTTAGTAAGAAGCCGTTGTTCAGAAAATCAGATTCTTGTATATTTGAATAAGATTAAACAAACAAAACCTGAGAGTCTTGAGCTGAGAATAAGCCTTCTCCATCTCTGGAAAGCTGCTTACTATCTGTATCGAGTCTTTTAAAGCCTTTCCAGTCACCTACAAATTCAAATTTTGATTATAAAAAAAATGTTCCAAACGCCAAATTTAGATACATCACAGGACTAAGTATAAAGATTCGAAATTTTTACCGTCTCCATGGCGTGAGGAAGTGTTCTCTTCAAGATAGATTCAACGGTTGCTCTCAAAACGTATGGCCTCCCCACGAAACCAACAATAACATCCTCTGGAACTCTCGTTTTAGGACGGAATCCAGGAATCTAAGCAAAGTAAATCCAATTAAACATCAAGCTTATCGTTACATAGTTTCAACATTTTGATATTTCATCTTTGATTGAAAGATGAAATGCAATTTTAACCTTTGAGAGTTTCATGAATTCGGTTAGGACTCTTTGGTAACAATCTTCACAAACAATTGCTGGAACTTTCACACTCAATTTCACCTAATAATTGAACAGAACATCCCAATTTCATACCAAACTCAATGTTACACATATTCCAACAAATAGACAAAAAAAATTGAATTCTCTTACACTTGAATTCGCCGCTTTAGTCTCGGTGACTTGGAGCTCAGCGGGAAGCTTGTCTTCCTTTACGATGGCTTCGGCTTCAACCGCCGTAGAAGTCGCTAATTTCCGGGATCCACCACCGCCAAATTTCCTGGAGGCACAAGATATCTCCAAGGGCCTGATTGGTTTCTTCAGTCTCCCGTCGGAGGAGCGTAACAAAGAGCAGCCACGACGAGAGAGGAACAAACTATCGCATTGGAAGAGACGAGAACCAATACTTCTTCGTGTTAAGCATGACTGAAACGGATTTATCGTCGTCCTCGTCGTCGAGCTGATAACGCAAAGCTCCATTTTCGCTCTGCTTTAGCTTGAAGAAGGACTGAGAGCTTTTGAACTTGGATAAAGCCGTGTCCTTTACATTTATCTCCTTAAAACGATGCGTTTTCAAAAATTTATCCCCCTAAAACGCTGCGTTTCAAACAAGAAAAGAAAAAAAAAAACAGAAATGGTCATTAAAACGCTGCGTTTTGGAGTTCACAAGCTGACAGAAATAAAGAAACTATTTTTTTCTCCGGTGAGTGACAGACAGTGAGAGAGAGAGATAGAGAGAATCTGCGGAGATGGAAGGCGTAGGATCGAGATTGAGCCGTACATCGTCGAGATACAGTGGTCCGGCGGCGACGGCGGTTTTCAGCGGCCGTGTGAGGAAGTGGAAGAAGAAGTGGATACGTGTCTCGACCTCCTCCGTCGGCGTTTTCCGAGCTTCTAAATCCAACGGTCGCAACAATTCTCCTCACCATCTGCTTCTCCACAAGTGGACCCCACTTCCTTCGGCGACGGCTACTGCCTCCGACGCCAACGGTTCCGGTGAGACGGAGGAGCCTCCCAAGCGAAGATTCAGATATGCTCCAGTAAGTTTCCCCAAAATCTGAATTGAATTCTATTTAGGGTTTTTTTTGTTTGTGTAAGTAGTGGAAGTGATTCGCTTTGATTTTGTAGGTTGCGATGCTTGAGCATAGAGAGAAAGTGGCTACTAAAGATTCCGAAATTGAAGCTCTTGCAGAAGAAGAGGCTGACGAATTCGACACTGAATCGCCACTACCTAGAGCCGTTGAGCTGGACATGAACGTAGCAGACACAGACCAAAAAATGGTAAAGCTTCAAAACTAGCAAATCTAATTGGTATGATGCCGATGAAGGTGACGAATTTGTTCAAATTTCTTGTGTTTTTTTTGTACTTCCTCTGCAGAAAGCAAAAACAACTGGTCTTCTGAACCTCGGACTGTGTCTGAATTCTGAAGGGACTGAGGAAGAATGAAGAAGATCATATTGGAGATTTGGGTTGAAGTAGCAATAAAGGTCTCATCTCAGCATTTGGTGTTGTTGTAGCTATAATGTAACTTATTCTAGGCTTTTATTGTTTACTTTGATCCTTTATGGATCTTTACGTAGTCTGTGTGTCTCTAGTTAGAAGAAGCTATATATTATATGTAAGATCCATCACAATCAAGTCTTGGCATTGAATGTTCCAATTTTATAACTTCATGAAAAAAATTTGAGAAAAATGTTACAGAAACAGGGCTTCTCTTCCCTGGAGTGTGCAGCAAATGTCAAGCTACTTTATGAGATTCTTGCTCATCCAATGAATATGCAAATATGAGTGTGTGTGTGTGTGTGAGAGAGAGAGAGAGAGCTATTAACTAATAAAAAAAAAAAAAAAAACCCAGGATGATGTTAAAAAACAAAGCTTAACTCTCTCGTTGTTTGAGTTTCTCAAGCTTCAGACTCTTTCTCGCTTTCTTGATTCTCCACGGCGCAAGTAACACCAACCTCAGCTGGTCTTATCACTCGATCAAACAACGTGTATCCAGACTGCATATATGGAAACAAAACCGTTACCAAAAGGTTTTGCAAAAGATACCATATAGTACGTGAGGGTTATCACTAATCAAAGCAAGAAAGAGAGCAAATAGTACCTTGAGGACATGAGCAATTGTGCCTACTGGCTTGGAAGCATCTGGCACTTGGAACACAGCGTTATGTCTGTTTGGATCAAACGGTTCATTTAAAGGATCTTCTTTCACCAAACCAGATTTCTTAAATACCTGCAGTTTTAACAGATATGATTGTGTCTTCTTTAGAATCACTCTCATCTTATTCTTTGTCTACCAATGTTTATTACCTCAGCTAATTGTTTCTCAGTCATCTCCACTCCTGCTAAAAGGGTTTTTAGCAGTGGAGCAGCACCAGCCGAATCTTTTGAAGTGTCAATCTTCGAGAAACTCTCCTTGACAACTGAGGAAGCTCTTCCGAGATTATCAGCTACATCCAAAAGGCTTGTTGCAAAGTTCTGCAGAACATCAAATGTAGTCAGCACTGGATTAAATGTTGATTCAAGAAGAAGAAGAAGGAGGATTCGCAGAAAAGTAAACCTGTATGGCGAACTTTTTGGCGTTTTCAGCATTACGTTTTGTCCTGTCCATAAGATTCTCCATCTCAGCATAAGTGCGAAGAACTTTATCTTTCATTTCCTTTATATCTTCCTGCTGAGCCGTCAATAGATCTTCCTTCTCAGCCACAAGCTTCACCAAATCGTCCCTTGACAAATCCTCAAAATCAGTCTCTGAATATGGAAATCAGAGACAAACGCAATACGTTCAGTAAATTGTCAAAACTTCTTTGTACATAAGTTAGACACAGTAACTGATTAATTTTGGCTCACCTGTAGCTTTCCCAGCTTCCACATCCTCAGAAGCTTCGCTGTTCTTTGGGGCCTCAGTCTTTGTCTCTTTTTCCTTCGCAGATGAAAAAAAGCTGAACCTTTGAGTGACATTCAAATCTAGAGTCGCATGGTTTAGGAGCGACACTGGAGCTGCAACAAGCTGCCATTCAAAAGGATCCAAATTGAGTAAATTCGCTCTTAAAAAAAATCAAAGGATGAGCTAAACCTGATACGAAAATTTCTAGTTCTCTTCTCAGATTGAAAATTCACAAGGATAGCTAGATTTCGGAAACAAAAAGTATGTATTTGAAATTCAACAAACCAATTTCCATCCAAATCATCTCAAATCAAAACATACACATTTAGAAATCTACACGATAATATATACGAGCAGAGCAATGGAATTAGAACATAACTACCAGTTGAGATTCATTTGAACAACCCTTAAACCCTAGCAAAACCCAACGAGCGAATCCAGAACGCGATACTACCGAATTCAGCTCAAAAACGTAACCTTATTGGGAATTCCGTTAACGAGGGAGTGAAATCGGCTGGAAGCAATCGGAATCATTTGACTCCTCGTCGGAGTAGTGACGGAGGAGAGAGACGAGCGCAAGCCCGCGCTCCGAGAAAATCTCGATAAAACCTTAGACACCAACATCACGGTGGAGGAATTAGCGCAAATGAATCAAAGAAGAAGAGAAACAGAGAATCGAAACTTTATTCAGACACGGGCTTTTATTCAGTTATGCCGAAATCGCCGACGGGAGGAGAAAGTGGGCAAACCGTTCTTGGGGAGGAAGTAAATTATTTTTTGGACGGCTTATGGATTTACCAAAATACCCTTATCGCTGTTGGGTGGCCATGGTTTAACTTTCATCCATTTTCAAGAAGGTTTGTTTGCAAAGGTAATTTGATTATTTAGTAGTTACTGTATTTACACAAAGCCAGAAATCCATCAACTAGCAATTTACTCGACCAACTGAACAAATATTGCAAACAAATATGAACTTTGGATAGAGTCAACTTTTGAAGTCTTTGATAAACCTGTCACTGCCATCTCTTTGAGTTCGAAAATAACTCTCTATTCCCAACGGAACAAATCCAATATTCCCCCAATTTGGTTATCAAAAAGACCCGATTGATTTGTATGTTAACATCAAAACAACATTCGAAAACCAGAAAAAGAAAAAAAAAAAGATGACCAAAAAAAAAGCAACAAGCTTCAACGGCACACTTTTGAAGGAGACTTTTTACTCAAAGGCGTCATCATCGTCATCGGGGAGTGGCTGAGCTGCAGCGTCCTGGAGAATAGCCTCGTTCCTCTGTTGTTCAGCAAGGTCGATGTGAACCTCTGGTGGAGCAAGAGCTGGTGACTCCACAAAGTGAAGGTTTTGGTCTCCAGCCAGCTTCCTTGCAAGGTACAAGAACGGCTTCTCGAAGTTGTAGTTGCTCTTGGCAGAGATCTCGTAGTACTGCAGATTCTTCTTCCTGTGGAATGTCACCTGCTTGGCCTTCACTTGCCTGTTCTTCACATCCACCTTGTTCCCGCAAAGCACAATCGGGATGTTTTCACACACCCTGCACACACAAGAAAAATTGACATTCTCGTTTAGTAATTTGCTACATAAAACAACAAAAAAACTCTAGATTTGCTGTGAGAGAGCAAGTGTTCATCATCATACCTGCAGAGATCACGATGCCATGTTGGAACATTCTTGTAAGTCAGACGTGCTGTGACATCAAACATGATGATGGCACACTGTCCATGGATGCTGCAACACAAACAAACCACAATTCTGTATCAACCAAACTGTTTGCAACAATAACCTTATGATAAACTAGCTACAATCATGGGAATAAGTATCTTATTGAGCTTCACATCATAACCAAGTTACCAACACTAGATGATCCTAGATTACAGTATGACAACTACAAGATTCTAGAATACCTATACAAAATTAAACCAGGTATCAAGTGATTCGTATTCTTAGAAGAGAATACTTACTAGTAACCATCCCTGAGACCACCAAACTTCTCTTGCCCAGCAGTGTCCCAGCAGTAAAAACGGATCTTGCCACAGTTTGTGAAGAAATCAAGAGGATGAACCTCAACACCAATGGTGGCTGCCAAAACAAAAACGAAGATAATAAACATCAGAAGCGGTGAACTCGTGAATAAAAGGTTACGATTTACGATAATTCAGGCGTTGCAATTACTTACGTTCATACTTCTTCTCGAATTCTCCAGTAAGATGCCTCTTCACAAAAGTGGTTTTCCCTGTGTGCATAATCAGAAGGTAAACATCAAAAACCAAAATCCACTCAACTATTGCAAACACAATCTCACAGTTCAACTTGCAAGATCTAGATTACGTATATCGATTACTTATACCACAAAATCAAGCAATCAAACAGTAAATTCTAAGATCGTTGTGATTCTGAAATTGAGCTAATCAGAAGTTGAAGCGAGGATGGTACCTGTGCCTCCATCACCAACGATGACGAGCTTGAAGCTAGGGTAGGTAACGGTTTCCTGGTTAGGTAAAGCCTGAGGAAAAAACAAAAAACGATGAGAAATCAGCAGATCACGCGAGATCGAGGAAAGTGTTAAGACCTAGAAATCAAAAGAGGAATCAGAGACGAAAGTGAAAAGCAAAAGCATGGCAAGACGGAGAGATCGTTTACCATCGATGAAAACGAAGCAGTAGAGAGATCGAAGAGAAGCGAGAAGCGAAGAGTATGAAAGGAAGACGGCGTGAACAAGTGCGAGAGAGAGGGTTTTTAAACAGAGCTTTGGCCGCTTACGATCGACGCAAATGCTTAGACCCGGTAGTCCATAATTGAATCCGGGTTCAGCTCCGGATCCGGATCTCGGCCCAAATTCCCTTCTGGTTAATTAGGCCCTTTTTAATTTGGGACTTTTCTTGAGCTGATCCAAAATCAACTATAGAAGAAAAAATAAAAATTATTTATTTGCAATAAAAAGTGTGGAGACTCTGTTGCTTGAGATCAAGGGGTAGAGACTGTTTATAGATACATGGAGAAGTATAATCGTACGCGTTCACATATATCATGATTCATGTTCATGAGTCTTCCTTTGTACATTTAACTGCTTACAAAATTCACATGCATAAAAAGTTATATGTTTGATCAAAATACTAGTCTCTTCTTCTGATACAATGCTCATGCCGCGAGTAAAGAGGCAGATACGATGGACGCACCCGACTCAAGGATGGGTCAAACTTAATACTGACGGGGTTTCAAGAGGAAATCCGGGGGAAGCGTCTGTCGGAGGTGTGATTCGGGATAATCGCGGGTTGTGGTGTAGAGGCTTCGTTCTTAATATTGGAACATGTACAGTTCGAATGGCAGAACTTTGGAGTGTGTACTATGGATTGGTGATAGCGTGGGAGAGCAGAGCTCAGCGGGTCGAGATGGAGATAGATTTAGAGATGATTGTTGGATTTCTCAAGACATGGGTGAGTGAAGTGCATCCGTTGTCATTCCTGGTGCGGTTGTGCCATGGCTTTATAACAAAGGACTGGATAGTCCGGATTTTTCATGTGTATAGGGAAGCTAACCGCCTTGCGGATGGGTTAGCTAACTATACGTTTACTTTACCACTAGGTTTTCATGCTTTTGACTCTGTTCCTTGTGGTTTAAACTCTTTGTTGTTTGAGGATTCCTCCGGAATTTCGATTACACGTCGAATCAGGATGTAATTTTTTTTAGTTTACTTTTAATAAAATGGGGGATTCATCCCCCTCCTCCTACCAAAAAAAAAAGTCCTTTCTTCTGATAATTTGTCAAGAGTTTTACTTATTCTGTGTTTGAACCTCTGCATAGCCTGTTATTAGCTTTGTTTGGTGGTTAATTGAGCTTGACTGCACCGATTCAGCTTGTGACATATTTCACTAGAAAACCATTTTCACAAAAAAAAAGGAAGGCATATTTAACTATAAAATTTTATTTTACTAATAATATATCACAATCCGAAATTAAGAATATCTAACCTAACAAAATAGTGATCTAAATACAAAATATTTAAAATCAAATAACGCCAATAAAATCAAGTTAAACCTCAAAAAGGATTTGATCTTTGTAAATTTGTAGCCAGGTGGATATTTTAATTTGTCAACATCTTTGTATACATCGTTTTATTCACAAGTGTAGATTAAGATTACATTAAATAACTTTGGTGATACATTGTATATAATACGTAATTTTGTGTACAGAGGTCGCTATAACCGTAAGATGAACAATAGACATCCAACGAACACATATTCGAGAATCGAGACTTAAAAAGATTAATTTCATGACTTTTCTTTTAACGCGATTTATGAAATGGCACGCAACTGAAGAAGTTTAAGTTAAGAGAGCAAAAAAATACTGAAACCATAATATAAGATGAATCCAACCAAATTTACAATAATCAAAATGAACCTACGCATATAAATAATCATATACTCGAATGACAAAACAATGTATTTAAATAAAATAAAAACATGAAAATGCTACTAATAAATAAATCCGCCCGATCCTTTCTCCTCCATATCCCTCTCAATGCTCTGTCGTCGGAAACTCGCATTTCCCGTATTCTACATACACAAAAAGGGCCAAAAAAACAAACCATATTATGTTTCCGTGTATACATAAGCTTCTAATACTAATGTAAAATTTTATTAAAAATAGCATATATTGTTAAACTATCCGAAGTCCCAACCTCCATAATTATTATCTAACCAATTCCCAACGATCGTATTCATTTCCATTAAGTTTCGATAAAGTGAGAATGTGAAATAACTATATGGGTAAAATAACGATTAATTTGTTAATTAAAAATATAAATTTCAAGAGAGGGGAAAGATAGAGTACGTACTAGGAGGTTGCGAGACCACATACGCCGAACCATCAAAGTCACACGTGCCAACACCACGTGCTTTCTTCTGATAGTAACTGTTGAAAGCGTAAGAAGCGTGGGCCTCTAACGACTCAGGATCGTAACACGTGGCACCCGGTTGAATCGGACCGCAATCAGCGCCTCCTTCGCCACAAGCGTAGTCAAGACCTTCCTGAAGCTTCTCCTTCGTCGTTTTCCCGTTCGCCACGCACCACGTCTGTCCCACGTGCGACTGCGACGGCGACTTCACCGGAACCTTCTCCTTGCTATCGCTGACCGGCGTCGACGAAACGGAGAACGGAACGTCGTACACTTTGGCCTCGCTCGGGTAAAACAACCCGTAGTTTCTCTCCGACGTGGGCCCTGTTTTTTGGTTCTCGTTAAACAGAGCGAACAGATAAACGTTAAGTGGCTCCTTGGGTTTTAACGGCGTTCCGTTTCCCGTCAACACTCTCTTCACTAATCCACCGTTGTACGCCGCCGCGTTAGCTGAACCGGCGCCGATCTCGTTCTCGTCTCCGGCAGAAGGCCAGCCAGTCTCCGTCACCACGAGCTTGACGTCGTTGAATCCCACGGCGGTCATAGCGGCGAAAACGGCGTCGATTTGAGCGTCTAAGAGATTGCTGTACTTCAACCCGTTACCGGAATCTACATTTCCGGCGTTCTCCTTGAACAGAGCGTACTCCAACGAGATCTTATCGGCGTTAGCAGCGTAGGCGAAGAACGGGTAAGCATTGATCATGAGATGCGAAGACGTTTTGCGGAGCAGATCGAGCATCGGTTTAATCACCGGTTCGATTAAATCCGGTTTGAAAGCACCGGCCGACGGTGGATAAGAGCTCGCCAAGGCGCTCAAAGCAATCGGCGACGAGATCTTAATCGACTTGTCGAGATTAAACTTAACCAGAGAGCTCTGAACATTCTTCATAGCCGGAACGAGGTACGTCGTGGTGTTCCTCGGGTCGACGAACACTTCGTTCCCGACGGCGATCGCTTCGATATCCGTCGCCGGCATGTATTTCTTGATGTTCTCCTGAACCCAGTTGTCGGTGTAGCTCTGATCTGCGGCGGCGGATGCGAGATTCTCGTTGGGGAGCGAGACGACGACTTTGATGCCGGAGTTTGCTAGCGCGGCAAGTACGGATTTTTCGGTGTCGTAGAGCTTGACGCGGTTGATCCCTTGAGCTTTCAGAAGCTCAACCACCTTCTCCGGCGCCGGGAGATTGTTCGCTATCCGGCCGTAGTTTACTCCGATCATTCCAGCCTCTGCTTAAGAAAAAATGAAAACAAACAAAAGACATCAGAAATTCAGAATCCAACACGCCAAATCGGAATACACAGTGGGGAACAGAGAATGAAATGAAGTTTTTACCTCCGTGTGTGTAGGGAATGGCTGAGAAGGAAGAGAGTATGAGGAGAGAAAGAAGGAAGAGAGCCATTGCTGCAAAGATTGAGAGATGTTTGTTTTCTGGAGGAGCTTGAGCTGCTGTTTATATAGTAGAGAGAAGAGGAAAAGGGAGGTGGAGGGAGTGGGTGGGACCCAAACGTGAGATATGGGGGATGAATTTTTTATTTTATTTAACTGTAACATTGTCATGTAAATATTTTCAAGACGTGTGAAAGGAAATATTATTAATTATTAGTATATTTTCTTTTTAATTGCGAATTTGACCGTTTCAATCGCAGTGATTGGGAGACTGTACCAAGTGGTGTCAGATGGTGGGTACGTGCCCAATATTAGCATTCAGTTTTGAAATTTATTACTGCAGCTTTGTATCTGGGAGATTTTATAAACGCTCTGTATGATATAAAAACGATTAATTTTTACTTTTTTTGCCGTATAAAAACGAAATATAATCTCTACCCTTTTAACCATGTTTGATCTCGAGTAAGAAAAGACCACAAGTTAGATCAAATACGTACACCAGGACCAGGAACAACAATTGTATTCGTTTACAAAGAGTCACAACACAACAATTTTATACGTCTATGGGTTTACACACTTGTGCCATTACCTTAGGTAACTTGTTACATTTACACCTGAGTTTATTAGTTACAATACTGTAGCTTTAATAAGAAACCACTACAATAGGTTTGCTAGTGTTTTATTAAGCACTTAGGCAAATTGAGTAATTAACCATAAATTTGGTGGTAATAATTAAATGGTATTAATAACCTGTTGAAAACAGCTCTATATATCCGTTAAAGTTATAATCATACAGGCAAAAAACTGGTCAGAAGAGTTGATCATTAATTGTTGATTTGACAATGTGATGCATTACTTTGTCGGAATAGTATGATTTTGTCATGAATATATGATCGTTAATATGTTTGATAGAAGTTCAATTCATGTAAATGGAGTTTTGGCCTCGTCCTGAAATGAAGAATCTACAAAGGGGCCATGTGTCATTTTTTTTTCCAAAATTTGAACGTTAGAAGCTGTTTTTCCCAACGTCTCTTTTTTCGTACGTTAAATAATTTTATAGAGAATTCCCAGATATTCCGTCCTTGTTGCCTGTTGTGGGGGTTATTATATTCGTACGTGTACGTTTCACTACGTTTATAAACCGAAGGACTAGATTTACATTTTACATGACAATTATAAATGGAGTTTGATATTACGTAGATTGGTTTACATCATACAAGTTCGTTGTAACTAATACTTAATTTAGCAACTTGCGGCTTGGGCTAGTAAACGCGTTTATACGTGTGCAGGAAATATGAATTTCGTAGGTTAGCTAATCAATCACCTCAATGTGATTTTAGATAGTATAATAATGAATCAAGCCAAATGGTCCATATGTTTGGTGCCCGTCCTTGCGAAAAACATTTTTTGTAGAGTCTAGTTGTAGTCTACAAATTGAACACTATTGCTAGCCGCCTATCTATTAATATCTCGTCTGGATTAAAATTACGCTAGATTTGGTTAATCACTACGTTAAATAGGCTATATTAGTACGAATATAGTTATTACCAATGCAAATTTTATTTACCAGCTTTTATCAAAAACAAAGAGCAGTGCATTAGATTTTAACAGGTGATACAGAGAATTGGTTCAATCAAATTCATGCACATATATGCTCAGTAGTCATGACTATTAGCTATTACAATTTCGATTTTAGTTTGATCATCGATGAGTGATTAATAGAATTTATATGGTAATAGTACGCGGATGACTATATGTTTTTGTCTTATACCACACCCAAATGGTGTGGTGATATGCATGCTGGTTTACATAACAATATATAATTCTTGGATTATGAAAGTAACTCTCTATTTATTATATCTACGGGATTTGTCGACATTGTACAATATGCTTCGCTCTGCGTCGAAGTCGGTCACGCGAGTTGAAAATGAAACACACTGTCCATGAAAATTGAAAACATTACACAGAGAGGTGTCGCTTTCGAATTGACTTGTTTGCAACTACAATGACCTTCCATATATGAACGTTAAATAATATATACACAAAACCATTACTATTTTCTTATCAACCAAGCAAAAGAAGTCAATGTGGTAGGTCGCTTGAATGCGGTCCACCAAGTTGAGTTTTAGATAGGAATGTTAACTTGTCCTTGATCTTTTGGATAAAATGCCAAATATCTTATTATATAAAGCTAGATGTGCACAACGTGATTGCGACATATAGGATTTTTATAAAATATAGGATTGCGATATATATTACTTTTAATGTTACTTCCGTTAAGATCGTGACACATATATTTGGGAAAAAGGAAAAAAAAGTTTAAAGAGAAAATTTTAATCTTTTATAATAAAAACGAAAATCTTATTATATAAATTGAAAATAATATAATAAAAAATACATATTAGTACATAGAATAGGTATGTAAACTAAATATCTTAAAACTGTATGAAATCAGTTACATAAACCCCTATTTTAAAAATTTATATCAGTACATGGAATAGATTTGTAAACTAAAAATAAAAAATAAATGAAAATTTTTAATCTTTTATAATAAAAACGAAATTCTTATTATATAAATTGAAAATCTTATTATACAAAGCTGGATGCGCGCAACGTGGTTGCGACACATGATTTTTATAATTTACAGGATTGTGTTACTTTTAGTTTTATGGTTGCAAAAATCATGACATGTGTACTGAAAAAACTTAAACAAAAATTTAGAAAAGAGAAAATTGTATCCATTATAGTAAAAGAAAACAAAATATTTATTATATCCTAACAGAAAAATGTTTCACATTCATCAAATATATACTGTCCAAACACATATTAAATTCAAATAAACAAAATCTTATTAGTATATAACATGGAATAGGTAAACACATATTAAATTCAATTAAACAAAATCTTAATAGTCCATGGAATAGGTTACATTAACTAATCTTCAATTCTTAATAATGTACTAAATAAAATCGTCTAACTGCATGAAATAGGTTATGTGAACCTCTATAATAGGTTATCGCGACATGTGTCAACTTTAATTTTACTCATATTAAGACTTTGATATGTGTTTTGAAAAAAAAGGAACAAAAAAACTATTTAAAATGTGTTACAAAAGGAAAACGTATATTTGCAACATTCTAAACGGAAAAAAGTATTCCATATTATAACAAAAGAAGGAAAAAGTATTTTTGCATAACTCATATTCTAAAATTAAAGAAATAAAAAAAAATATATACTTCCATATTCAAACTGAAAAATGTTCCATATTCTAACGGAAAAAGGAAAAAGAAAATATTTTCATGCATTATATTCTAAGATATAAAGATTCCATATTCTAACGGAAAAGGTAAAAAATAAACAAGAATACATAATTTTAGTTTATTTTAGTTTTTGTGCATCTTTATGTCATTCAGAGATATCTTATGGAGTTCTCAATATTATTTTATTTATTTTAAAAATTTATTATATTTTGTTTGATAATTTTTTGGTAATTTGTTTCAAAAGAAAATAAATAAATCTCGTGTATACGCGGGGCTTTATCTAGTATATAATAAATATATAACTGAAAATCATATATTAATAATGTGTCCCTATTATAAATATAAAAAATATAATAATGTCGCCGAAATAATAGTCATCACGAAACATAAATAGACTAACCTAACCATTCACACACTAAGACGTACATATTCATGTGTGCATTCGAAGTCTCAATAAAAAAAATAAAAGAAATCAGAAACTCTTCGGTCGGTTCCGACTTCCCGTAGAGTGACTAGCCCACATGTGAGCCCAATTGGTATACTGAAACCAGCCCATTATTAAAGCTGGAGTAAAGCGACAACGTTTTACGGTTACGGATTCTATGTTTTCCCAGCCGTAGGATGATAGGCTATCCAAAGAATATCAACCGTTGGATAGGCCCAACAAGAATCCGATGCGACCAAAGAAAAGTTTCAGTCTTTTTATTCTCTCCGAGTCTCTCTCAAACCCTCAATCTGCAATCGCGCGAATCTCTCTCTCTCTCTGGGCTTCCTGTTTCTCGCAGATCGGAGTTTTTGACCGGAGAATCTGATAAAACGAAGATGTCTGCTACTCAGGAAGAAGACAAGAAGCCAGGAGAATCAGGAGGAGCTCACATCAATCTCAAAGTCAAGGGCCAGGTTTCGTCACTGTGTTCACTTTCTTACTAATTTTTTTTAGAAGATTCTTTGTCCGGTCGTGTCGATTGTGTGTAATTATGGTCCCTTCTTGTGGTTACTTTCAATTTATAGGTTTTGGGGTTTGTCTAGGTCTCGAATTCCAGTAGTGTTGTCTGTGTAGATTTTTCTGTAGCAGTAACAAAGGGAAAAAGTTTGTAGGGATATGTGTACATGAATCGTTATCAAAGTTTCTGGAACTCTTTTAGTGCATTGATAAATTGTTAAGCTTGAATTTGATTATTGTGTAAGCGTGGCTTTATGTGGAAAAAGATTTGTTTTACTTAAAACCAAGATGTAAAATTCTTTGAGAGTTGTGAATTATGTTTTTGTCATAAATCTGTAGCTATCAGAATTTGGTTTAACTTTTTCTATGGGTGTATGATTGAGGCAGTGATGATTTGTTCATAATTTAATACTGTCTGTTCATAAAAGTTGTGTTTTTAGCAAACTATATTTGGAAGTCTCATGAAAGCTTTTTTTGAGTATTGAGTGTTGGAGCATTTGTTATTTTTTTGCAAGCTTTTCCTGTATGCAAATTGTACTGTTTTGAGCATTTTTTCAAGCTTATCTCAAAACTGTGATGATTTGAATTTAAGAGTCATTAGTCTTTTATTTTAATTTTCTTTGATTGGTGATAAAATAGGATGGAAACGAAGTCTTCTTTAGGATCAAGAGGAGCACTCAGCTGAAGAAGCTGATGAACGCTTACTGCGACCGCCAATCTGTGGATTTCAACTCAATCGCGTTCTTGTTTGATGGCCGTCGTCTCCGTGCTGAACAGACTCCAGATGAAGTATGATCATCACGAACACTCTCTCTAGCATTTTCCTTTCTTCAGTTTTAGAATCTTATCATTATCATTAACACTGATTGAATCTCCAATTTTGCAGCTTGAAATGGAAGATGGAGATGAGATCGATGCTATGCTCCATCAGACCGGTGGTGGTGGTGGAGGAGGAGCAGATGGCCTGAGTCTCTTCTGCTTTTAGTCGTCTTCTATGGTTTTCGTCAAGACCGTATGATATTATTACTAATGGGCTTTTAATGGCCTTTCTCTATGATTTTCGAAATTATCTATCTATTAAACAAGTAGCTTCAATTAAAAGCAACTTTTTGCTACCATTTACTTGTTCCCCACGCTTCCTTGCGTGCGCCTCAAGTTTCTCTTTGGCTATTTAAGTAACTTTCGTCGCTTTTTCAAAGCTTTTACCGTTCTCTCTGCAACCCTTAAAATGGCTGTCTCTTCGTGTTCTTCTTCTTCGGCCTGGTCGGATTTACTCCCGGAGCTTCTCGACACTGTGTTCCACAGCCTGAGCGATGCAAGAAACATTCTGAATTGTGCCACCGTATGTTCTTCTTGGAGAGATTCTTCTTCCGCCGTTTATAGTCGTAACTTCGTTCCTTCTCTGTTTGTTTCCCACCTCTCTGCTGATGAAGACAGTCGATTCTCCGATCAATTTAGAATTTTATCTCCTGAAAATTTAGGGAATAAGCAGAGATGGGTCTGTGGAGGAACGGGAGGTTTATTGTTAACGGTGAATATTTCTTTCCCGTTCGAGGTTCATCTACTAAACCCGTTTACTCACAGCGTTGCTTCCCTGCCACCATTGACAACGTTTGAGGACGTTCAGCGGTTGCTTCAGTCGCAAGCTATCTTTACAGCTTCTGAAACCCTAAAAAACTTTGTGAAGAAAGCCGTCTCTTCAACGAGTTTATTAGACACTGTCTGGGTTGTGCTCGTTATCTACAACACAGATGGGAAGCTAGCATTCTGCAGAAGCGGAGATGAACAGTGGACGGATTTGGAGTCTGATCACGTTGCTTCTTCTGTTGATGATATTGTCTTCTGCAATGGCGTCTTCTTCGCCATAGACAGGATTGGAGAGATATATCACTGCGAAGTAGACCCGAATAACCCAAAAGCTGTTCCTTTAGGCAGCGCCTCGCCGTTTAAGCACGACCCTTGCAAGAAGTACTTTGCAGAGTCGGATTACGGCAAACTTTGGGTGGTTCTTAAGAAGCTAGAGCTTAACGACGACTGTGATTTCGCAATCTGTTTTGAGATTTACGAGTTTGACTCGGAGACTAAAGAGTGGACCATGGTGAGAAGCTTGAGGGAAAGCATTGTTCTTGAGTCCTCAAGGTAGATGTGTAGCGGTTTCAGCTGGTGGAACCGGATCTAAAGGATTCGTTAAAGACAATTCTGTTTACTTCACCGATGGGAACGATTCCGGTTTAGGATCCGGGTCGGTGAATCTGAGCATTTTTGAATGGGAGAGCAAGGAGATCAGGAAGCTTTACCAGCCAAGATCTTGGAATTGTCAGATGTTTTGGGTCACACCTACGGATGTTCTTCAACATTGAATGATTCAATGCATCTTGGGGTTTTTACTTCTTTGTTTTCATATTGGATATAGTTGAGGCTTTGTATTTCTGTTCAAATTTTGATTCTTGTATGCATTACTTTTGTATTAAGATAATTTGTAAGGGTTGTTTTGTACCAAAAATAAAGTTTTGAGACTGTTTCACCATCGATCTTTTTTCTCGTTACACTTTCGTTAATCAAATTTAAATGAATCAACCGCAACCAGTTCACGATCAAATCTATTTCAAAAACTCCTTGCAAAAACGTATTTTATTGACCTAATAATCACCATTCTTACAAACCAATCTGAGACAAAAAGAAAACCAAATCTTAAAACAGTGACAACAAAAGATAACCAAACCCATTGATTTAAGATCAACAAAATGAGTGCAATCACGAACAATGAGTCAGTGTTATACAAAAGCATAACGAGGCACCAAATATACTGATACCAACATTTCGTAACAAGCGTCTAGGATCTAGTTACTTATAACTTCCTTAGAAATCTTACCAAGATCTTAAATTTATGGTGCCAACAAATTCAGTGGATCTCTTATCGAAGTGACGGTGGAAGAGCTTTACCATCTTGTGAAAGTACTCAAGTCGATGAATCTGTTGAAGGGCTTGAATGACTGACAACGAGAGGTGGACGCAAGGCTTTGTGGTTGGCTTCTGCTTCTTTGCGAGCTTTGTACATCTCTTCTGTTTCAACAACAACCATCCTTTTCACCTGTGTATAGGCATCAACCCAAAAACATATCAGGCCAACATTATCATTGAGAGAGGAATATGACAGATGAGAATTTGATTAAAAACATAGAGAGAACCTGTTGAATCATTCCTCTAATGGATGAAGTGTTTGAGTGCAGAACAGTACGATGGCATCTGCGAAGTCCCATAGCTTCAAGTGTTCGCCTGTGAAGCTTCCTGGTTCCTGGGAGACCTCTCACTAAGGTTACGTACAAGCTCTGGCTCCATTGAATTGGCACTTGAGCTTTGAATGCTCTAAAACCAGTCATCTTTCTTTTGTCTCCTCCTTTATAACTTCGATTCTCTGTAACCATTGGAAATCATCACAAACACACACAAAAATTACAATCTAGAAAAACTAACAGAAACATGGGCTAAACTTCTCGAGAAGCTTAGCCATTTTGTGACAGAGATAAGTCAAACAAAGATTAAACCAAGCAAATTTCGTTTTTTTTTTTTTATTAGTGTGCTAGCTTCCTGAATGATCACAACAAACACCTACATTACTTAAACAGCGGAAACATGAACTCAAATTCTCCAAAATTATAACCTTTTTTTTTTCACAGAGATCAATCAAGCAATCAGCTTTACAAAACACAGAATAAATCAAACTAGAGCAAAATTAGACTTTTTGAGGAAATATTCGATTTTGATAAATGTAAAACTAGAATCGAGTATAAAGTGAAGAATGAGTCATTCGGGTGAAAATTAAGAACCTCAAATATCATTTAATCATGAAATTTGGGGTTAGGGAAAACACAGATCCAAACCAAACATGATTCCAATAAATAGAAAAAAAAATCACCGTAGAAATGTAAGCCTACGGAAGATAATACAGTCAAAGGAGCTCATTTTCTACAACAATTCGATTGAGGGACTAGAAACAAGAATCGAGAAACTGATCGATCACCTCAAATGAAAGAGGAGTTGCATAACGCGAGAGAGAGAGGAAGGGAGAGAGAGTTAATCAGAGACGGGTTACGTAACTTAGGATCAAAACGAAATGGTCAGATTCGAGTGATAGAGTGAGAGAGATAAACCTGGAAGTAGAAACAGAGGCGAGAACTCAGGTAAAAGGAGTCGTCAGACGGGAACAGAGCTCGGAAAACGGGGAAGCGACTTTGAGCTTCTCTTTTGGCAAAGGGTTTTAGATGAAAACACGTCGTCGTTTTTGAGTGACATGATTTTTGGGCTTTATATAAGCCCATAAACTAATAATTCCAAATTCCAGTAGTCTCATTTCTCTTTGAAATTAGTACAAGTGATTAAGGAGGTGTTATTGGATTGGTGTTTAAAAGTGTTTTTGTAATCCAGTTATGGAAGATTGTATTGTGTTTTGATGAATTTATTAAAAACTCACGATGGAGGATTTTAAAACACAAGACAAAATCTATGTATTTGCTTTAGTCATGTTTTATGAGAGATAATACATTGAAATCCACCATAACTGTTTTTTTAAATAATCAAATCAAGGTTGAATAACACCTGTTTTGATTGTATTTTGAAATACATCAAACAAATACTGTATCCAATAATAGTATTTTTTTAATGGATTTTAAAACCCTTTTCTCAAATACACAATTAAATAACACTGATTTTAACTCTGTTTTTAAAATTCGCTCAAATACATTAAAATAACCATCCAATAACACCACCTAAGAGTAAGCTAAATTTTTTGGATAATGTATCGATATTATCAAAATTTTCTGGAAAAAATAGAGGATATTATCAAAATTTACATACATAATTAACAAAAAAGAAACATAACATTTCTTCCTGTCTATACTACATTCGAGAGAGAAGTACTAAATTAAATACATATTATGTTATCTACATATACATACATCTATTAAACATGATCTCCATTTTGCTATGTTAACAGCAATTTCCCTCACGTTCCTTTAACAGTGTTGATAGGTAAACCACCATCATCATTTTCCTTTTTATGATAGTCTCTACTAGTCTCTTGATCTTTCTCTTCGAACTCCTCTTTCACTTTCTCTATCTCTGCCTCAGAATCACCGGAGACGTTGGTCGCCGCCGTAGCTCCGTCGTAAGCCTTCTCCACCGTCTGGCTAGCAACACCTTGTCTCGTGAACTCCTCCGCCGTGGAAGGAGCTCTCCCTTCTTCCCTCCCTCCACTCGCACTTCCTCTCTACATATAAAGAAAAACCCCACAATTTAATCTTTAGATGTAGTTAGCTTCATGAATAGAAAAAAGGGATAATTTAGAATATATATACCGTAAGGTAAAGAGAGTAAATACATGATCTTATATTAGGTTTAGAGATTGATTTTGGGTGCACATAATTTCTCAACATTCTTTTTTTCTTTGGAGGTCTCTCACTTGTAATTTTATAACTTAGACTAGATCAAACCGTAGATGGAAATGTTCTTATCAGTACTTATGAGTTAGGAGATCTCTCCTAATCCTCAAGTGATGTATGACGATGTGTGATGTCTCATCAACGGGGTTATGAATATGATGCCACGTTTGTGTGTTACGTGTGTTATTTTAATTGGCCGTAATCGTTCAATCTTAATGGGCTTTTGGATCGACCCCGGCCACACACAAGACCTTTGAGACAATGTACTGTGATCTCTCCATGGTATACAAGAAATTTGTTTTTGTCCCTCTTTGTTTATTTTGCATTTTTGTGTTTTAGGTTCGAGTATGTACTTACTTGGTGACATCATCAACATCTGTGACGTCCTTCCATTTCTCAGGTGAAATGTAACTAGAGGGCATCGACAAGGCTTCAAGCTTCTTGTTGTTCAACTACAAACCAGTATACAGTTGTAACATAAAGATGGTCAAACCTAGTGATCCAATAAGCTGCTGTACTTGGAACTTGGAAGTAAAAGATAAGACATTTACAAGATCTACGTTAGTTTATTAACTGTCCATTTTGAGTTAACCCTAGGTTAAGTTGTTAACGTGTGTCTAAGCGTAAATTACTGATCACGTAAATCACAAAGTTGTTAACAAGATAAAATCTTAAAATTTCGTAATTATCCAAACTACCGAATATTTATATATACTTACCATTTCTTCAATTAGTGCTATCTTCTTTATCTCTCTCTCTTGGCACATTTTATGATGTCTCTGCTTCTAAGCCGGCTCTCGAAGCTCAGCCCTGGAAAATCTTCGTTGGTGAGAAGATCATCATCTCCTCTTCTTCTTCTCTCTAATGGCTTCTCATCTTCCCCGCTGCAAACCCCTCCTTGCGCCGTCAGCAGTGCTAGTCCTTGTGGAGATGGTCTCGGAAAACTCGGAATTACATATGCTGATGGAAAAAGCTCCAACAGTTTCGAGAAGAAGGTGCCTATGGAGTTGATCGACAGTGATCCAATGATAACGATCGGTGCATCTCACGGCTGGATAGCTACTTTGAAAGAAGACGGCATATTGCGTCTCCAAGACGATTTCAACCCGGTTGCTTCGGATACACACCCGAAACGCATCCCTCTGCCTCCTCTTGTAACTCTGCCTCACTGCCAAACCCAAATCGTCACCAACGTGTCAATGTCCTCATCTTCTCCCGAGGATCAAGACTGTGTCGTGGCGGTCAAGTTCTTGGGACCTCAGCTCAGCTTTTGCAGACCAGCAGCTCAAGGCAACCCCGAGTGGATCAACGTGAGGATCTCAAGCCCATGCTTCTTCTCTTCCCGAGTCATGTTCTCCAAGAAAGACGAGATCTTTCGCATGCCCGGATCCGGAGGCCAGCTCATCGGATCATTGGATATCCACACACAGAAGAAGAAGAGGCACAAACTCAAGATTCAGAAGCTCCGCTTCCAAAACCTTCCCGAGCTGAGCAAGACTAAACAGGAGCTTTTGCATTCTTGCTACACGAGCGAGCACTTGGTGGAGTCGGGAGCCACCGGCGAGACGTTCTTGGTGAGGCTGTACAGGAAAGCCTTCGCCACGAGCCGAATCGTGAAGATGAAAACGAAAGATGTGATGGTGTTCAAGCTAGACGAAGAAGGAAACGCCGTTTACACTAGAGACATTGGATATCAAAACATCTGCCTCTCAAGGTCTGAGCCTTTCTGCGCCCCTCCTAGCTGCTTTGTTGGCGAGTACTCCAACCATGTCGACCTCTTAGATGTCGACGAATACGCCTCTGTCCATCTTCTTGATTCCTCCATTGATAGTTGCAGTTTTTTATCCCAGACCCCTTATCACATTCCTCCTCAGAATATGAGTCTTGAGTCTTTAAACCTTGTTTGGAATTGAGTCTATCATCTGTTTGGACGTTTTCTCTTTTGAACCTTGGAGTTTGTTTACTTATTTATAATCAATCCAATTCATATTACTATTTTTTTTCACAAAAAAAAAACCATTACGAATTTCTTACGCCAAATAACCAAATGAGTGCAAAACCCAATCTCAACAAGTCAAAGGTAACTAGAATAACTTCATCTTTGCATTATACTAAAATTGTTTAATAAGGGGATGAATAGTAAAGTTGATATTTAAAAAAACATTACTTTTCCAAAAACTGAAAAAATCATATTCTCTATCATTTTTAACCAGATTTGGAGAAGTTTGGTGTGACATCATAGAGTAAGATAGTTTAACATCATCAATCGATTAAATGGACAGTAGTTTGATCTTACCCCAAGTGAGAATTTGGTACAAAGTCATAACTTAAGTTTTAGAGTCGTTACATGCAGAGGGCCCCCAATAAAAATAAGACCGCCACTTAAAAGAAAATCAATTAATATCCTGAGTTAAATGAATTTATTGAGTTATGTTATTGTAGTAAAATTAAAAATCTAGTGGAATGTGATATTTTAGTGGGGTTGGATAATTTAAATTGTCAAGAATTTGTTGATTTTCTTATTTAGAAGATAAACAAAAAATAAAAAATTGTGAGTTACTTTTGGTTCACAGAATTGAAAGGAGAAGATGAACCATTTTGGTAAAGACATAACTTTTGAAAATAGTTTTGGATATTAGATAAATTGTATACTTATTTTGTTTTGGATACCGTAAATTTCAGCCGGCTCAGATGATAACTTCTTATACAATCATTTTATAAATGAGTTATTCTTGTTCAATTTCATGCATGTTTGATGGACCAAACAGACATAGAAAAATATTTTGTATTGTTTATTTAAGAACGAAGAGAACCATATCAAAAGTTAGCGATTTTTGGTGCTTGGATCGAGATTGTATTTCAAGTCCATTAACCCATCAACCAAATAAGTGCAAAACCAAATTTAGGAAGGAAGCAAGAAACAATGTTTCGTCGGAAACAGCTTAGCATGTCCATTAGTGATACCCTCAGTATCACAACATTTTTTATTAATATTTTTGTTAACTTTTTTGTTTAAGAGACTTAGATTTAATATTTATCTTTTGCTCTTCCATTGGTGATACTACAGAGTATCTAAAAAAATAAAAAATTATTTTTAATAAAAATATTTAATAAAAAACTTAACAACAAATCATAATAATAAAAACTTACAAAGCTTTAACCATAAAACGATTACAATAGATAAGCAATTACAATAGCTAAACAACTACAATACATGATTGAAACTTCAACAAATTAAAAAAAATTGTAATCTTATTTTGGACCAAATTTTTGCCATATATGATTCACCAAATCAGCTTTCAAATGCTGATGTTTTATGGAATCATGAACTTCAAATCGATTGGCCAACGTTTGGGCGATATCTATAGGCACTCCTCTAGTGACATCATTATATTCCACTTGTGCATTACTGTCTCCTGTTTGTTGTTGGAATTCTGATACATTACCAAGAGTGTACCATCTCGTTCATCTTCGACTATCATATTGTGCAGAATGATACATGCCTTCATAATATTCCCAATTTTTACCTTATCCCATGAAAGAGCCGGGTTTTTGACAATAGCAAATCGAGCTTGCAAGACTCCGAAAGCACGCTCCACATCTTTTCGGTAATGTTCTTGATATGAAGCGAATAAACAATCTACGGGATTTTGAGGAATTTTAATTGATTGGATAAACGTTGCCCAATTAGGATAAATACCATCAGTGAGATAGTATGCCAACTTATATTTGTGTCCATTGACCCAATAATTCACCTTTGGAGCTCGACCTTCTATAATATCATCAAATACCGGTGAACGTTGAAGAACATTGATATCGTTTAGGGTACCTGGAAGTCCGAAAAACGCGTGCCAGATCCAAAGATCATATGAAGCTACGCCTCTAAAACAATTGTCGGTTTTCCTGAGCCACGGGTATATTGGCCCTTCCAAGAGACGAGACAGTTCTTCCACTCCCAATGCATACAGTCGATGCTCCCAATCATCCCCGGAAATCCACGCTCCTCTGCAACATTGAGTAGCCGCTGAAGATCATCTGCTGTAGGTCTTCGTAGATACTTTTCTCCAAACACAAATATAACTCCTTCCACGAAATTTTCCAAACATAAGTGCGCCGTAGTATCACCGAGCCGGAGGTACTCGTCAACCTGATCCGCCGTACAACCATAAGCCATCATACGAATTGCTGCGGTACATTTCACTAACGCGGATATACTAATCCTTCCGGTAGCATCTCTTCCTTCTTGAAAATATGCAACTTCTTTGAAAAGTCCGTTAACTATTGTTTCGAACAATGACTTGTTCATTCGAAAACGTCGTCGGAATAGAGAAGCCGGATATGTTGCATCTTCACTGAAATAATCGTTGAACAAACGTTGGTGGCCTAGCTCACGATTTCTTTCTATATATTTTCTTTTATTTTTCTTTTCTTTAGGAGGAGGGAAAAAAGTATTGCACATAGTTTCGAACATATTTTCGAATGATTGATCGAAAGCTTGATCAAATGGGTCATCTTCCGTAAAAGTGTTATTAGAAGAAGAAGCCATTTGTGTTATATTTTCTTTTGACGAAGGAGAAGAAGAATCAAAAGAAGAAGAACAAGCCAAAGAAGCCTAATAAGATTCAAAAGAAGAAGAGAATGTTAAACGCTAAAGAAGAATTAAAATTTTCTTGGTTCCTCAAAGAAGAAGAACGTTAAAGAAGAATAGAAAAAGACCTCGTTTACTTGTCAAAGAAGAAGAAGTTTACAAAGAAAGTACATATATGAAGAAGTATAACAAGCAATATATATAGGCAAACAACAAGTGGAGAGACCAATTCACTTAATTATCACAAGTAAATAGCTACATTTTTTGTAAAATAATAAAATTGAAATATAAAGCTCATGGATTATCAAATTGAATGATCCAATTAAAAGGGGCTAATAAGCATTAACCTCGCAGATCCGCAAAGCATGGAGAATCCGGCGGTCTCCAACACGGCAACAAAGTGATGAAATGGAGAAGAGAAATTCGGTGGTCATTGAGTCGGATTCGGTGGTGGAGATGATGAATTCTCATTCACCATGAAAAACATCGAGGAAAGAAAAATGTCGATGAAAGAGGGTGTCGATTTCAGGAATTTAGCTTTTTCCATTATTTTTTAATTTTTTAATTTTTATAAAATCAACCAATAACAAGATGCCACGTTAGGGTATCACAAAGCCTGAAACGTTCTTTCATTCACATACATATCAGGCTAAATTGTTTATTAAAACTTTATTTTTAAAATAAAAATATCCTGAAACCCACTTAAAAACTGGTCCTGATACGCCGATGGATATGGTCTTAGAAATGAGGTGTCAAGCCTTATAAGCTGAATCGACTCTACAAGCAGAGCCCAAAGAAATCGTCTCTCTTACACCAATTTGCCATGTGTCATATTGTGATTGGTTCCTTCCTTTTATTTTCATTTTTTAAAAAATTATTTATTTAAAATTCATTTTTTCATTTTCTTTTTAACTTAAAAGTGTTTTCTTTTTATTGTTAAAGATTTCCATGTGGAATATCCATTGTGGATGCTCTAAGTGAGTCTCTCATGTCAAAAAAATAATAAAAATAATAAAAAAGAAGAGAGAGAAGGAAGAGAGTCTCTCCCAACAGATACGTATGAGAGACTAAATGTACAGATGTCACTATGATGTTTGTTTTAGTCTTTTTAATAACTTAAATTTAAGAGTGAATTTGCTGTGTGGCAAGATTTTGACCCTTATTTAGTTTTTTAACAAAACTGATATATTGCTTTAGGTAAATAGCAAAAGGGTACCCATGATTGTGAATTACTCTCTTGGGTGCGAGTGGGGAAACCATGAAGCATTAAATAATAAAAAGCTAATTATATTAAATACACTATTTAAAAATCTTTACTTTTTTTTCTTCTCACCTCGCACCCCTCTCTCTCTCTCTCGCTCACTTTCTTCCTCCATTTTATACTCCTTCGATTTCATATGATCTCACATCAATATAGTTTTAAAAACCAGATTAATCCATAATTTTTAATACCATGGAACATATAATCTCGACCAAGACCACAGAAACTCCAATCAAGGATCTCATACTCAATTTAGCATCATTACATATTAATATAGCATGAGATACCATAATATTGTTATTTATTAGATAGCATAGCATATATTGCAATAACGAGTTATGTATTTTTGTATCGCACTAAACAAATAAATAGTTTGTTATTTAACGAGATACACATGTATATTTTAGTTTGTGGATCCATTTAAAGAAAATGTACATGTATATTTGTTTATACCAGTTTATCTATATTGTTACGTCTTAGTATTTCATATTATATATTAACTTTAAAATATGTAGCACCATACATTCTCCATATAAATTTGTGTACCATGTTATTTATATTTATATACAAATAAATACATATATAGTGCTTCAAAACTAAATATACATGATTTCATAGATTAATATGCTTCACCATTTTCTGTTACTACTCTAAATCTAAATCTCATCATCATATCTCAATTAACCATGAATTCATCTATAAATAAATAATTGATAAATTAACTACGAGATCTGAAAATCGAAGATGAGGAACTCGATGATTGTTGAGTATCTCCAACCTATATACGCTTCACTTCTGTTACTTTTGGTTTTCTTAATCTCATCACCAATAAAAAAAGGAAAAAGGATTGAGTAGCCAGATCATTCATATGATTTAATAAAAGCAACGAATAAATAAAATCTAAGAAAAAAAAGAAGAAAAACGGATGAATGTAAAATGGGGGAGAAACATGGCGAAACATGGCGGAGGAAGAAGGAGAAAAATGGGGGAGAAAGAAGAAGATTGAAAGAGAAAGCACGAAGAAGAGAAAAAATGGAAGAGAAAAGAGAAAGAAGGAGAGAAATGGAGAAGAAAATGAATCGTTTTCTCATGCATGTCATATTGGTTACTGTGTGCAGTTAATGCATATGTCAAGTGAAAGGTATACGCGCGTAGGGTCAATATCGGAAAAAGTAATGGCGAAATACGGAGATATATACGACAATGATACGCTCTTGTTGAAAAACTAATTATGGTAAAAATACTTGCTCCTGGATGCAAATACTCTAAATTTAAATAGCATAATTAAATTAAATTAAAAATATTAGTATTATATTTTTGAGAGACTACTAATGGTTTCTCACCGCTGGACATGCTCTTAGCTTCTCCATCGTGTCTGCACACTTCTCCATTTCGCCGGTAACAAATATTTCTCCATCTCGCCGGTAACGGTTTTCTTCTCCATCTCGTCAGAACCCACTTATATATCATTTTACAACAAAAAATAACCCATTTACTAGACAAAATCTAATTCATATTACAAAAAAATTAAAAGAAAAAAACATTTACGTCAGTTTCTTCAGGTAAAATAAATGAGTTCAAAACCAAATTGAGGAAGGAAGCACAGCTTCATATTTTTACAGTTTGCATCAAATAGTTTAATTTTACGGCTGAGATCCACTATACAAAAAAATAGTTTGAAAGCGTACCATACTAATGATTTACTTGATACCTGATAGGATCGACACAAGAAAAAAAAGCATCAGTTAATTAAAAAGCACACGTACACATACACATACACATACACATACACATACACATACCCCACCTGTATATTTTTTGTCCGCTCGAGGTAACATTTTTTTTGCATAAAAACGAACATACGCCGTTGTGCGCAAATCTCACAGTCAATTAACAAGTCAACGTATTTTTCAGTAGACTTTTTCGTCGTTAGGGTTCTACTATCGGTTTCTTCTTATATTTGCCGAGGATGGAGGCGAACGGTGGTGATTCGTCGGAAATAGTCCGGGAATTGGAAGAGTTGAAGCTCAGGAAGGCGGAAATTGAGCACCGTATATCGACCCTCGAAGCAAAGCTCCATGAGACGGCGGCGGTTGAACGCTTAGACGCTGCCGTATCGAACGGTTACTCCTCTCCGGCGGCGATTGAACACGGGCTTGACCATGGATTATCTCCGGATCAGATTTACCGTTACAGTCGCCAATTGTTACTCCCTTCGTTTGGCGTTGAAGGTACTGATTTTAACAAACAGTCAATTTCAACTACAACAAACAAGCTCACTATTACGTTCTAGTTTCTGATTGAGCTGATTCATATATAAAACAACAATTAGTCGATAATGATTGGGAATACATTGATTTGATTAAATTTATAAACTTTGTTTGACGAAATGATGTAGGAGACGAAGTTTGACACTAGATTAATTCGATATCTACTGATTCTATATTGTGTGTGTGTTGCTTCTGTGGATAAAATGCATTTGTTTGTTTACTCTGCTTATGTCTTCCTCATATAGACATTTGAAGATCCGTTCTGTTCTGTTCAATGTGTGTGATTGTAGCTCAATCAAATCTGTTGAAGTCTTCGGTATTAGTCATCGGAGCTGGAGGTCTAGGTTCACCGGCGTTATTGTATCTTGCAGCTTGTGGTGTTGGTATGGTTTTCAGACTCTTATGATCTTACACTATCTACAGATATCGATAGAATTCCCAAGAAACTAGTCCTTTTTTCTTGACTATGATGTTTTGTATTCTCTTAGGTCGGTTGGGGATTATCGATCATGATGTTGTAGAACTCAACAATATGCACAGACAGGTACAACTCAGAAAAATTCTCATGTGGTAGCTCTTTCTGTGGTTGGGAGAGTTAAACGAAAGAGACTACCTTTTGCTGATTGTTGAGATTTGTTTATCCTCCAGATTATACACACTGAAGCATTTATTGGTCATCCCAAAGTCAAATCTGCTGCTTCTGCTTGTCGCTCGTAATTCAATCTCTCTCTTTGATTAAGTATCAAGTTTTGATGGTGTTGCATTATTCATGCAATTATGAGTCTCTCGATTGGGAATTATGACCACTTCTGCTCTTTGGTCTGATCACTCTGCCTTTTACTTTTCTTTCCAGAGTAAACTCGACAATCAAAATTGATGAACACGTGGAAGCTCTCCGCACATCCAATGCTTTGGAAATCCTCAGCCAGTATCCTTTTATGTTAACAAATGCTCTGTATCCCAAATTAGGCCTCCTCATGTGAAGTGTTGAATGGTGAATGTTTCCGTAACTGCGTAAATTAGATATGATATCATAGTAGATGCAACCGACAATCCTCCAAGTCGTTACATGATCAGCGATTGCTGTGTCCTGCTAGGAAAGGTGAAGCATCTTCTTCGGAGTCTCTTTATTGTCTAGAGTCATTTATTGCTCACAAGTATTAACTAGCGTTTTGTATGCAGCCTTTGGTATCAGGTGCTGCACTTGGAATGGAAGGGCAGGTATATGCAATATGACAATAAACTTGTTCTGTTACACCTTATATACGTTAAAAGCAGCACATTAAAAACTTAGAACTGTCATTTGGATTTTTTTGTATGCAGCTTACGGTGTATAATCACAATGGAGGTCCGTGTTACCGTTGTCTATTCCCCACTCCTCCACCTACATCAGCGTGCCAAAGATGTTCTGATAGCGGAGTTCTTGGAGTAGGTACATGTTATGATCTTCTTCTTCTTTTGCTAGCTAGTCTCTACCAAGTTCTTCATCTTGAAAATATATTTTCCTCTCTGTTTTTTTGTTGTTCCTCAGTTCCTGGTGTTATTGGTTGTCTACAAGCGCTAGAGACGATTAAACTCGCGAGCATGGTGGGAGAGCCACTCTCTGAACGGATGCTTCTTTTCGATGCTTTATCAGCAAGAATCCGCATTGTAAAGTTTCACTCATCCCCCTCTCTATTCTTGATTACACTCAGTTGGAGGATTTCCATCTGCATGAACTGATTGAGTATAGTGTTTTGGAACAGGTTAAGATCAGAGGCAGATCATCCCAGTGCACAGTTTGTGGAGACAATTCATCTTTCGATAAGCATCAGTTCAAGAACTTTGACTATGAGGACTTCACCCAATTTCCTTTATTTGCGGTATTGTTCTCTTTTCTTCAACCCAATATTCGTTTTCCGCAACACTCTCATATATATATGTTACCTGCATTGGTTTGTTCACAGGGGTCGTTGAAGCTACTTCCCAAAGAATCAAGAATTAGCAGCGAGGAGTTTAAAGAGATCCTTCAAAAGAAGGAACGGCATATTCTTCTGGATGTTCGACCTTCTCATCACTATAAGATTGTCTCTCTCCCGGATTCACTCAACATCCCTCTTGCAAACTTGGAGTCTCGGTTAAACGAGCTGACTTCAGTTCTGAAAGAGAAGGAAGACGTTAATGCGGAAACCGGACCTTGCACAAGTCTCTACGTTGTTTGCAGACGCGGGAACGATTCACAGAGAGCTGTTCAGTATCTTCGTGAATCGGGATTTGATTCAGCTAAGGACATTATCGGAGGACTCGAGGCTTGGGCAGCCGATGTCAACCCCAACTTCCCCACCTACTAGAGGGGCGAGGGTGTTGAATTTGTACTAGTTTACATTTATTTCAAATTATGAATCATAGTATAAAACCAGTTGTTCAAGATTCGGCATTGTCCCTAAAAATGTGCTTTACGTGCTTCTTTATTTTTTTGCCATCATCAATTAATATCTTCACCACCCTCACGGGGCTTGTTGACAGGCAAGTAAGGTTGTCTTTGTTCTGAGATTTACACAAACACGCGTGTCTGCATCTGTGTAGGAGTCCATGAAACATAAAAAAGAAAACCAAAGTTTCAGAGATTTGTTGCATTCACTTGTCTTTGTGTTTGGTTCTTACTCTGAAGACAAGAGTTTCTAGATTCGGACAACTCTTGAGCAGACCTGGTAATGATTCCCAATAAAAAAATGTCCCTACGCTCTTGATAGTCAAATGAGTCAGATTCTTGGATATCGGTATTGCCATGAAGCAAAACGTGAGTACCTGACGCAGATGATTAGTAACACAACTATCAAAAACAGGGTTATTGAGAGAAGAAAAGAACAATTAAGGAGGGAAAATCAAACCAACAAAAAAGAATCGATTGCGTACCACAAAATCATTTCAACTTCTATCTCTGCAATCTAATTTCCGATTATCTCTGCAGACATGGTTATATAGCACGTCTCGTCTACGTGAGAGGTGAAAGAGTGTTCCTGATATGGCATTGCGACTGGTGCGCCGTACATCAAGTTTGAATACGACATGTTTAAAATGGTACTTAACAATATGATACTGTACTGCCTTAGGTGTGTTTCTTAGAATTTTATTATGTTCGTTTTTCATTATTCAGTTTAATAAAACATGTTATTGTATATTGATAAATCAATATTAATTAACTCTAGTAATAAATTTAAGGAACAATGGAACATAGACTTTTTATTTTATAAGATAATGTAATGGAACATAGACTTACGTAGTTGTCTACCTTGAAACTTCTTTCTAAATTTTTGGTTTATTTTTTAATTAATCTAGCAAGGATATATTGATGAGACGAATATTTTTAACTATTTTAAATCATTTTCAAAGTCAATCAAACTTTAAAACCCGCAAGTAAATTATATTATAAACTACAGTTTTTATACTAGTAATGAGAATAAAGCCTGTATAACCAAAGTTTTCAATGCCCCACCTAGACAACTTTTTCCAAATGTGAAGATCATCACATTTTCAGCTTTCAAGATGAGTTCATATAGTTCTTTTGTAGATAACTTCCCGATGTGCCACACTCTAGTTTTCTATGGATAAAAAGGTTATACAAATACTCTCTTAAATATTAAATAGTAACTTGTACAATGTGTGTACACATGTCATAGATTCAAAAGGTGCTGAATGAGAGAAACATGTAGAAAAACTTATTAGACATAAATTTCTTAGAGAGAACGGTGTGTTTACAAACCAACTAGGGTTTAACCTACGTCCTGCACAGGATGAGATTTACTCTTATATTTGTGAAATTAAAAAATGTTTATTTTCGTAATTTGAAATCTTATGCAACAGGTTTTACAGCTGACTTGGTTCTTGTCTTTGTTTACATAAAATAAAAGTTTTGACAGCAACAATAGGTTAAATAAACTTAAACCAGTGAAATAAAATCTAAATGACTATAATATAATTAGATAATTAAAAGAGAAAAAAAAACTGAAAAAAAACATTATATTTCAAGTTTTCTTAAGACTCTCACCTAATATCTCAATGAGTGTTTTTGGAAGCCTGCAAAAATTGATATCAGTTTAATTCATGTAAATGAGTAACATATATAAGAGATAGTTAATAAAGAAAATTCTTCTTACATTATTTTGAATGCTTGTGTTTTAGGAATTTCAGGCCTGAATAAGATTTCAGAACAGCCATCCATACTCGAGACTTGTGTAAAACCACACATATGAGGGAAAAACAAAGTTGTGATGATGAATAAATTTGGACAATTAATAAAAATAAATTTCGAAGTTTCAGTGAGATTTTTTGTGTATCTTTTTCCATTGATCGAAACAACTTTGACGTGACTCACTTCCATAATTTGACTGATAACATCTTATACTAACAAAATTAAGATGATATAGATAGGTCAACTCTTATCGTGATGAATAATAAATACAAACAAAATTAAGAAAAAAAAAAAACTAACTTTTCAAAAAAAGAAGAAGTAATATTCAGAATGAGATATTGCTCTTGTTTCTGGTAGTTCTTATATAGTACGTACATTAAGGTTTACTGCCTTTACTCATATTTACTCGAAATTGAAGAATCAAATCTCACTTACCAAAAGCTTAATAACAATCACATATATTATAGTTTCCTTATTATTTGATTATCATATTTTGCTTATAATTAGCTCATAATGAAATGCCAAAAATAAGTGTAATTAAGGAATAATCTAATTACAGTGAACTTCTATACTTATTTTTGGTATGGTTTATTACTTATTTCCCTTACCCAAATATTATAACGAAATAATTTCAAAATTTTCTTATATTACAAAGTGAAATAATTACAATATTTCAAACTTTACTAAAATATAAGTCAAATAGTGACATATACATCAACGATGATTAAGGGTTGATTTTACGTTAAACCTCAAATCATAAACACCATTTTGACTTTACATTTATTTAAATATTATGCACACTACGATATAATTGTCACTTATTTTTATTGCACATGGATAAAATTTTGTCTATAAACCAGTGTATCATGCAAAAATCAATGAAATAATTAATTAATTTAATCCATACTGAAATTCACATTATTTTTTTTATTTTTTTTATATTTTTTTTTAAAGTATGATACATCGCATATATACTTTGTTATATACGTATGCATGCTTTTGTTTTGACGAAGCTGAATAACAATTTAATAGAATTTGACAAATCACGTAATAGTTATAACATATACCAACGTGAAATAGTTATGTTATGAAAATACCTTGTAATAATAAGATGCTTTCATATGTAATTCGATGAAAATGTGGATAAAATACCTTTTAATATGTTATTTGAAGTAAAGGCAGAATAATTCTTTTCTTGCTCCAAGTGTAATAAACGTTGATCACAATGTTCTCTATATGATATTAGCATACGAATAAATGAGACAAAATAATACCAATGGCATATGTTGTAAATACTCTAATAAAGGCAGCCTTAAGTTAAAAAGACTCTAAAAGTGAAGCATATGATGACACATCAGCATGTCATAATTGAAAATAACACATAATTGCAATCACATTGAATGAGGAGGAAGTTGTTCACTACACCAAAAGACTAAGGGATCATGTTGCCCCATGAACAATTTGTTTTTCGTACCGGTTTTAATGGTTGCCCCTTTTAAAAATTCTCTGATTCTGATTACAATCCAAACACATTAGTTCAAGTGTGCTTACAATTATTTTTCTAATTTCTGGATACTTATTTATGAACTTTCTTCTTTCGTCACTCTCTTTCAATGATATTAATTACCCTTTATAACTTTCATACTTTAAAGTACAATGTCAAATATATAATATACCAACAATAACAACAGTTTGCCCCGCACATTTGTGCGGGTTAAATCCTAGTGTTCTCTATATGATATTAGCATACGAATAAATGAGACAAAATAATACTAATGGCATATATTGTAAATACTCTAGTAAAGGCAGCCTTAAGTTAAAAAGACTCTAAAAGTGAAGCATATGATAACACATCAACATGACATAATTGAAAATAACACATGAACGAAAGATTGTTTTTATATATGTCTTCTCATTTAATATATTAGGGATATCATATAATTTCATCATACTGAATTTTAAACTAAAGCGAAAAAAAAAACTGATTATTTACTTACTGCTCACCGAAAACACCATGTGTTTGCTCACCACCATCGGATATTTCTAATTCTCAGGTTGAGCATCATGAGCAATTTTTCTTGAGCAATTTTCCTTGCCTAATCTTTTTATAACCAATATTATTTAATTAAATAAATTTGTAAGGAACAAATCAAATCAGGGTTAGCATGAAGAGATTCATTGGGATCCACAAACCACATCACACAAACATAAGTCACAAATTGAATTCCTCAATCAAACAAAAAACGCAAGAAAACCAAACATAAAAATAATTGCTACGTACCTTGAACCTCTCACTGCACTGACGTTTATGTAAGCTTTGTGTGTGGGGTTTCCAACTTATATTAGTTTTTGGTTTCTGGTTGTATAGATCTAGCTTCCATCGGTTTTACTTGATCAACAAGAAACGCATGAAATAACACATATTATTACTTTAGATTGGTTCGAGTTCATCTTTATTCTTGAGTTGAAAATTACTTAGTCTCAATGTATATATACTACGAACAAAGAAATGATCCATGGTAAAAATTTAAATTTAAGAAAGCTTCCACATCATTATGATTTATGATGATAATTACAAATCTTCCACCATAAAACATATCTGAAGCCGCTCGAAAGTGAATGCAAACAAAACCTAAGGAATGATGGAGACATAGATTCTTGATTCTGCGCCTCTGTCTCTCTGTACATAGAAATGTTTGTGATTAAGCATTGATCTCGGAATTGCATTGGTTCTCTCTGCTGTAGCTTCTTCTTCCCCAGAACATGCTTGGTCAGCAAGTTGTTGTTTTCCCAAGTCTTTGCCCTTCTGATCTGTCTTCTCCTGCTCAGTTGTTGTTCAGGCTAGAAAAGATTGAAATTATCTAACAAATCCTCGAGATTTGTCATCCTCCATAATAAACATAGAGAGCCTGCTAATAGCTCCATCTAGTTTGATAAGCACCTTATCTGTTTGATGTTTTTTTCTTCATCTTATTGATGTGTGCGGTTTTTATATAAACATGTTAAAGAGGAAGTAAGTTAATGACCTGAGCATTTGGATTTGACATTTCTCGACTTGGATCTTCGGATTTTTAGGTTGTAACAGCGGCTGAAGTTGTTGCCGATCGAAAAGGGTAACTGAACCAAAGTAAAGAGGCATGTGTCGCTACACCACTGATTTGAGGAGCAACAAGACTAACTAACTAGTTTGCTTCTCATAATTCCATCAAGTTCCTTGTGAATCAAGGCTGCGGAACGAGAGATGGAGGGAGTGGAGTTTTCGATGTTTGTTTCAATCATATATGAAACAAAGAGTCAATAATTCGATTCAATCCTTCATAGATGATATACTAAAACACACATGGCCAAGAAGGGAACAAGACAAGTCTTTTATTGACGAAACAGATCGAGTGATATTGATGGAGGTTGACATTTGTTATTTGTTAACCATCTATTATGGAGATGGAGACTCAGCTCAATAGTTCTATTTATTTTCATTAGTCTTTGAATCTTATCGAACATTTTATCTTTATCTTATCTATTTCATTTTTATCTCGAAGCTCTCTCTCTTATCTATTTCATTTTATCCAAAGTTCAGTTATTATACAAATTATTGAAGTATAAGTTCTTTGTATAGTCAACTTCTATAATCAACTTCTTTGTAGTCTGGTTTGGACGTGTCCGTAATCAAGTTGCTGATGCTTTATTGAAGAAAGTCAATTTGGATTCTTCTTTTGCGTTTCAGTATTATGTACCTTATGATATTGTTACTTTCCTCCATGAGGATCATTCTGTTTGTCTGGGTTTTAATGAAATGTCTGTTTGATGTTAAAAAGAAAATCAACGTCTTTGTATTTATGGAAGTTTAGTATTTATCCTTAACAAACTTATGTATAGGATTCGAGTCAATAATAAATTCCCCAAATAAAATTTAGGTATATAATTCACAGTTCACAGTTTTAACAAAAAAAACATTGTTCACAGTTCACACAGACTACATCGTGAGCTTATAAACACACACTCTCTCTCTTCTGCATATACTCCTTCTGTCTAAATACTTGTCGTTCAATCTTTATTTATTTTTTTTTCAAAATAGTTGTCGTTTTTATTTTTCAATCCAAATTTTAGAATTAAATACTTAGTTTAACTTTGATCTAATGAAGAATACTAATACTTCTTTCGTTTCAGAAAACTTGATGTTTTAGATTTTTTTTTTTTCAGAAAACTTGATTTTTTAGCTTTATTTAATGCATTTCTTATTAAAAATAGTTTAATTTTTAGGTGAGAAAAATTGGAGAGAATAGATAATTGAGTCTTTTAAAACATAAATATTTCTTTATAGATAAGAGAAATAATAAATGTATACAAAAGTGTTTCTTAATATCTGTGTTTTTTCTAAAACATCAAATTTTCTGAAATAGAAAAAGTAATCAATTTGTTTTTTCATGTATAATAATTATTTTAATATATTTTATTAATTTGCGTGAAATCTTCTAAAATAACAAATAAAAGTAAACGAAAGAGTATAAAGCACCTCCAAATTTTAGTTAATGCAACATTTTTAAACTTTTTCTCTCTCCGTTTCATAATAAGTGTTATTTAATTTCAATGTATCTGAATGTATTATGGTCAAAATAACATTTATTATAGCTCAGATATATCTAATTATTGTCCAAATACATTTTGCTTAAATGACACTTATTATAAAACGGAATGAGTATCATATTATCCTTTCGTTAATTACATTTCTTTTTTTCTGGATTAAAGAGAACCAATTCAGCGTATATGTGGCTGTGCTTACAATGATTGGATCATAAATCTAAATTTAACGACGAATATTAAATAAAATAATATTGAGTTTCGTAATAAAACCTGCAAATTGTGTCAAAGCACATGAACCCACTAACAACCAAAATCCTATATAACAAAAACAATCACGTAAGCAGATTCACTCTTTTCTCTACTATTCGTTTTTTTCTAACGAACACCGATTCCCACAGAGCATTTTATCAAACCTTGTGAGGATTGTGGGCTATGGAACTCAAGAAACTTTCGTGGAATTGAGCTGTCGCCAAAAAGAACTATTTAATATTAACTTGTACAATGAGTGTACAAGTCTCAAAGATTCAAAAGCTTACAATCTTTTTAGAGAGGAACTATGTGTTTACAAACCCACCATATATGATTTCATCATATTTTTTTAAAAACAAAAGCAAAAAACAACTGATAATTTACACCTTGTCGAAAACACCATGCATTTTTTTTTCTCGATCTCCACCATCGTCAGGAAGAACAAAGCTTCATAATGTGGTATACTAGCAAGATAAGTTTGAAATTGTCCAACTAATACTCGAGATTTGTCATCCTCCAAAAGAAACATATAGAGTCTGCTAATAGATCCATCCAGTTGGATAAGCACCTTATTTGTTGGATGTTTTTTCATATTATTGATTTGTGCGGTTTTTTTATAAACATGTTATAGAAGAAGTAAGTTAATCATATGAGTATTTGGAATTGACATTTCTCGAGTTGGATCTTCCGATTCTTAGCTGAAGTTGTTGCAACACCACTGATTTGAGGAGCAACAAGACTAACTAACTAGTTTGCTTCTCACAATTTCATCAAGTTCCTTGTGAATCAAGGCTGCGGAACGAGAGATGGAGGGAGTGGAGTTTTCCATGTTTGTTTCAGGAGCATGTATTGAACTTGAGATTTAAAGTGATTTGAGATGATTTCACCTTTAGATGATTTAGGTGATTTTAATGAAATCACTCTAGAATCCCACTTAAAATATGAGATTTCCTTGTTAAAAATATAATATGGTTAGGATTATTTAACAAGTAAATCCCACTAAATAAATGTAAAATCACTGGAAATCACATAAAATCTCTCACCTAATTTGAGATAATCCTTCACATATGATCATATAGTAAAACACACATGGCCAAGAAGAGAACAAGACAAAGTCTTTTATTGACGAAACAGAGTGAGAGACTCAACAACTAACTGTGAAGATCAATCATGACAAGGAAGCAAAGCAAAGTTCATAGTTGCCGTTTTGCAGATTGGTTTTCAAAAGAACGGTAAAGCAGAGAAGAACAAGAATTACATCTTCTGGTTCTCGTTGTTATTCTCTTGTGTGGCCGCTCCTGCTTCAGCTTCTGCTTCTTGCTCGTTAAACCTACGCTTGAACTTGGCAATCTGACCAATGTTCTGAGCCATTTGACGCTTAGCTCCAAAGTGATAGACTTTGCCAACATGCTGGATTCTCGTCATCATCACGTGCATCAATCTACCACTCTGTGTCACGTAAGAGATCCACTGCAGCTGCGGGTGAATTCCTTTCTTCATTGTCCAACAACAACTCTACACAAACCAAAAATAAACCATTCCTTCTTCAGTTTTTATCCTTACGATTTAATCAGAATATACCACATTCGACGAATCTAATCTCCAAATGAAGAAAACAATAACATGAGCAGATATCAAGATTCATCACTAGCTATTCAGCTCAATCAACATTTCTCTGCAAAATTGGCTTAAAGATGATCGAATGTCTCTACCCTATAGCGACAAACGAAAAAAATTGAAAATTTGGATACAAGTCTAAGTGAGAAACTGCTGTTTTCTTATTGGCATTTTATCGAACACCTTCGATGCGTGTCGTTACTCAGCAAAACAAAATGTACAATCTCGACGGCTTTAAAAACCAACAGAACCCAGAAATCAGAATTAGGGTTTCTTATCGTTCAGATCAGTGGTTCAGCTTAAATCGAACGAGCCAAAAGGGAAAAACTTTTGAAAAAAAAAGAAAATGGAAAGCAAAAAGTTCACCACATAGCAGTCAAAATGAAGACGACAAGTTTTCATTTCAAATACATAGAGAGAGAGAGAGGTGAAAGAAGCGCTTACGCGAGTAAAACTATAAGCTTTGAGCTATGGAGTTGTTTTGTCAAAGCTTCGGTAATGGCAGAGGAAATGTCAGCTCTTCGCTTCACCCACTCCAATGGATCCGATTAGGGGAAATAAGAAAGTGCAAGCTTCCGAGACCTTCTTATTCGTTCAGAGACTCTTAAACTAAACAATTTTTTATCAAACGAAACTAATGGGATTTTATTTTAATGTCATTTTCACGATTTTCACAGGTTAATTTTAATCAAAAAAATTCACTTCGTATTTCTTGGTTGATAAATTTTAGCCTCTAATCAACCAGTAATATAATAATGTAATGTGATAATCATAAAGCAAAAGCACAAAATCACAAAGAGAGTTTAGTTTGCATTGAAGGACAACAATGCACTCTTATGAAGCCACCATCCATTAAACTCTCTTCTTCTTCTTCTTCTTCTTCTTGACCACTTAAGCCGATTGCTTCAAAGATGATAGAGATAACTTCTTTGGACCTCTCCTCTGAGCGAGAAGACTCCATGCTTTCTCCTCTGAGGCTCCTTCATAATCTTCTTTCCTCTTCAACACCAATCGGACTCACCTGTTAATATACAAGAGATTCTTGAATTCAGTGTTATGATTAATAAAGAAAAGAGTAAGAGACCACTCTCTAAAAAAGATTTAATTCCTTTACGTTGATTGCAACAACGCTTGGAGAATTGTCATCATCATTTTCATTGGTAGCTTCGAACTGGAAAAGCAGCTCTTCTTGGCCAAGTTTGGTGAAATTGAATTTGTTTCCATCAAAGGGTTGAGTAACTTTATCAACACGGAACTCGGTTGGTCTCTTCTTCAGATGACGACCTTCGTTTAGCTGCGCTATGACACCGTACTTCCCCTGTATGACCTAACATTTATTTACCAATTTATCACCAAACAATTCTGAACACAGAAACTTTACTCTTCAGCTCAAGTAAACATCAACAATATGTGAATATTGAAACTTGATTCTTCAGATTAAGCAAACATCAAACAGGTTTGTCCTTAATAGTAAATTAACCAAATGTAAAGAGACGACTTTTTACCTTGGTTTCGCAGGCGGTGACATCGTAGCGAAAGAGACCTCTTTGGAAACGATCTTCCCACTAGAAAACATGAAAGATTTTGATACATTACTCCAACAATTACCGAATCGGTTGTGACAAACTAAGAGATTGTTAAATACGTTACCTCTCCAAGAACACGTGTTTCGAGAAACGTCACCGGAGATTCTGTTTTCTCTCCGACGGATTTATCCACATTTTTGCATGTATACAAGGGAAGTCTTGCCCCTGAAAGCAATCAAAGGTCAGAGATTTCATGAATTCAAATTCAAATTAAAATTCTGAATTTTTGAGCTCTAAACATATTGTAATGTACCATTGATGCAACACTTGCTCAGGCAATTCCGACAACATCCTCCGCCTTCTTCCGCCGTCTCGTCTTTCTGGTAATTCGAAACGACGGTTGGAACTCTTTTGATCTTCAACAACATTTTTGAAAGAGACGAAACCCTCCCGAGATAACAGATTAATAAGAACTAAAACAAAATCCTCTAAGAGAAAAAGGAAAAGAGGTTAATGGAGAGTGTGGAACCGCCTCCGGCGAGGAAGAGGAGATCGGAAGGACTGCCGCCTTCAGACGGCAGAGCTCCACGTCCTCCGTGCGGCGAAGGATTAGTTACGATTAAACAACCCTTCCGGTGGACATGAAAGCTCAGACTCAGACGCCGTGAATTAGTCCCGTGTATCGCCGTGATGAAATCGCCTGTTACCCCCGGAATGTCCCCAAGATTTTTCGCCGGCGAAGTATGAAAAAAACAAAACCGTGAATTTTTACGGGAAGGATAGTTTTTTCGATGTGGTAAATAGATGGGAGATGTCAGATGAGTGAAGCATAGAAGATAACGACGTTCACGTGTTGTGTGTGTGTGTGTGTGCGTGCGTGCGTGATAGAGTGAGAGATTTGAGGTTGCGATTCGAACGTGTGGGTTTCGTGGCCCGATCTCTTCTGTCCAGTCTCATCTTTTGTCGTTTTTTGACCCGACTGTCACTTTCCGGGTTGACCCGCTGACTTGTATCCACCGAGAGCCGCCGTTTGGGGAGAGTCGGTTCAAGATTTGTCAATTTATTGACTTTTACCGTAACGTCATCTATTTCGATTTTTAGCCTAGCTTTTTCATTTCATGTGTAGTTTCTTTCTTCACCTTATAAATTTGTATTTGAATATTAATTTTGTTATGTTTTTATCTGTAAATCTCAAGACGGGATATGACGAAAGAGACTTTATTTTATTTTATTTTGTATTTATATCGTATGAAAACATTATTTATGGAGTGTATATAATACGTAATTACACTCTTATATAAACTTATTAAAAACAGCAGTAGTATATAGTACTAGTAGTGTGGAAACGAGGATGTTCCGTTTTATTCGTAGATAGACATTGAAAATTGAAAAATAATCTCTTTCGATTTTAATATACCCCCTCAAAACATTATGGGAAATCCAAAAATACACACAATACTTAATTAATTATTAAGTAAATAATTAATTGGACGGCCTTTCCTTTTCTTAATTACCGTCCATGTTAATAAATCATCCGTATAATTTTTTCATTGGCGTCAATGAATGATTGATTCATCAAGCGTAGTTACAGAGACCGTAGACGCAGAACTCGCGGGGATCATCACCGCAACTGTGGTTACACTCACCACAATGGCGTTTATCGTATGCCATGTAAACACACTCGCCACGACAACACGTTTGCCCGAACTTGCATTTGTTCGCACACGCACCGCAGTTGTCGTCGTCTGCTGATACATCCATACATTTGTTGCTGCAACAATCCATTGTAGCGTTTGCTCCGGTGCTGTAGCTGCTGCTGCTGCATATTTTGGGGTCCTTGTTGCACTGATCAGCTGCGTTTGGGTTACGGGCTTTTGGTCCATGACCCGCGTCGACCTTTTGGGCCAAGAACCGACTCGGTCTGATCTTGACCGCTCCTGGCGATGTAAGATCCTTGAAAGGGTCTTGATCAAGAGAAAACTTGTTGGTCGTGGCGGTGGTTTTAGTAGTTGTGGTGGTGATGATGGCGATTGTGATTGCGGTTGTTAATGCAATTGTCACTAGAAGCTTCATGAATTGGGCCATTTTCTTTTGATATTACTGTACTTGTGAGTTAAAGCGAGAGAGATTGTTCTTCTTTCTTTGTTTCCTTCTTCTTCTTGTGTTGTTTATGTGAATGTAGAGAGAGAGAGAGAGGGAGAGAGAAATTGTGCTGTGATGAAATGAGGAGAGGGTGGACTTAGGGTTTATAGCTGTGATCGAGTCGAGTTGACGCGTGAATTGTGGTGAAAAGTTGAAGAAAGGTTTCAAGCCATCGATATTTTTTTCTTCGGGAGGGGCGTTTTATTATTTTAATTCATTTCATGTTGTATACTGTTCTTCTGGTCATGTACGTGCACATGCTTATTTGCTTACGTTGAGGTACACTATACGCATTTACAATTTAAATTATAAGAGGTTACTTGGAGTAATTATGAACTTATGTGTGATATATGTAACCAAAACATATTAATTCTTTGGCATAAATTTCCTACAATGAGAAATTGTCAAATTGATAACGTGGTACAATGTAGCATTCGTTATATGTTGCTACAAGAACTATCATTGGATGTGGTTAATCATCTGAAGTCATGGTAAATCATCGGTTTGTAACCTTGTTTATTATGTTGATCCATGTTTGATCAGTGTGTTTTTACATCCAAAGAGTTTTATACTGTGATGGTTTTCCGATTTAATCAAGATGGGTAAACAAAACTTTACAGAAATGTCCATGCAGAATAAGAGAGAGAGAGAAGGAAAATAATCGTAGCTCTACAAAAAGTAGAAGTGGATGGGTAAAATAGAGATTTAAAGTTAGTATGCGTGACGAAATATGGCTGAATCCATCGCCTCGCCTCATGGCTCATGGGCCGGTCTGAGACGACGACTAAGGCGAGATGCTAGGAGAAGCAAAGGCATCCATTTTTATATTTGTTTATTATTTGTTTTGGTTTTTTCTTCTTGACAGCTACATATTGATTTGATTTTCTGTGAATACCAGGAACCACTGATTTATATTTATTAACTAAGCAAACTGAACCTATACATTCTCTAATAGACACTTGCTTTAACTTGAATTCTATAATTCGACCCTCTCATACGCCCAATCAACTCCGACTATATAATTTAAACAAATGAAAGGCCACTGATACATTGTAAGTCGTAAATAAAATATTAAACGGAGATTATGCAAGTAAAAAAAACTTACAATATAAAAGTGTACATCTGAGAAGTGAGAACACAGGAGCGAGCTTAATAAGGTTAAGGTCCTTGTTTCACCATTCGTCCACCACCCATGTTTAGATTAGCTAAGTAAGACTTGATATGTGTAAACATGTACTCAATGCGTGACAAATTAAGTAATTGTAATACGAGATCAAATATATCATGTTACATATATGATTACTTTTTACATAAAAGATCTTTAGCCAAAATTTCTGTACAGGTTTATTTTAGTTGGTTAAAATATCATTTTGGAATAATCCAAATTCAAAATGCGTAATTATATACAGAGTTAAAATTGGTTCTTGGTTGTCCCGTTCATATGATGATGACCACTGAAGTAATAGAAATAAGTTTGTTTGTTAAGTGTATGTTTATGCATAAATATATAATTGAGATTCCGAAGATTTTTTTTTTTAAAAAGTGGTCGACTAATTAACCTGTCAAAGGCGTTTCCCAATTATTAGATTCAGTGTTTGTTTATAGTTGAAGAAAGTTTTGTAGAGAGGTCAACGCTTAGGCCTCATTTGCGAAACAATGTACAAACTTTACGTCACCAAAGTCAACATTCATTCCCTTGTTGCCTAATGCCTGTTGGTCATTTCCTGACCTATACGATAATCAACTGTTTCTCTACGATATCTTTCTGTTGGATTAACTACTAAGCCACGCGCAATCTTCCTTTTACATCAAAAGTTTAGTATCTTATTGAAACTCGTGGAAAATAATGTGTGATGTAGGTTGTTCAAACAAGAGATTTCGTTTTACTATTTGCCTCATATTTGTATCATCTTCAAACATTTATACCAACTTTGAAACCTTTAAATCCCCAAAGTTTATTGTAAAGTGACAAGATCTTCGTATCTATTGGTTAAGACTCAGGTATCAAGTTTCAATGGAAAATGAACCGGTCCGGTTCTATGTTTTGCTTCAATTGTAAAAACAATATCCAACTGACACTTTCTTCTTCCTTTATAAACTTGAGCTATATATATCTGTACTGTACATGTTATATCAAACTTGAACGGATCGTAATATCGTACTAGAGTTTGACCCACGCCCTGCACGGAGTGATAGTTTCTGAATTTGTATTTTTATTAAAAGATGTTTTTTTGGTAATTTATTAAAAGATATTTATTTAAATATCCCAAAATTTTATGCGACGGATTTTTAATCTTTGTTAGATTATTGCCTCATTTATTCGTTTATAATATGAAAATTAAGCATTTTAAACTATTTTTTAAAAAGGTAAATAGATTAAAGTCTTGAACGTAATATAAATATGATAGATTTAAGCGAGATACATGAAACTCAAATGACTACAGTATAATAAGTTAGTTTAAAGAACAAAAAAATGAAAATAAAACATTATTCTTTACAAAAATGTATATTGTATTTCATATGTGTGCACACGGATTAGAATTTTTTTTTTTTAAAACTAAAACACGGATTAAAATCAATTTTTTTTTCTTTCTTTCAAAACTAAAACATGGATTAGAACTATTTTTTTCTTTCTTTCAAAACTAAAACATGCTTTATTATAATTTCAAAACAATTCAACTAACAATAAAAAACCAATAAGAAGACAATCTGCATGATCTAAATTGTTAAAATAACAAAAATATAATTAACTTTATATTGAAGTTGAAACAGATGGAATAATATTCAAATTTTTTAATTCAATTTTATTATAAAATTTAATTAAAAACCATATTAAATAGAATAAAAATAATAATTTACCTTTAAATACCTACTAAATGAGGTTATATACTAAACAATTTACATTATTTTGTTTTTAAAAATTCAAATCATAACATATACAGAAAAAGCTTTAGATTTTCTTTATTAGTTTTTTTATATTGTGATTCGTATTATTTCATAAAATAAAGTTGAACAAAGATGATAGGAGATATATAATGATTTTTAAAAAAATGATTATGATAGAATTCAATTGAATTTCATATCTTCCTTATTTACTTATTTTCGTAATTGTCAATTAAGGAAAGAAAATAATAATAAAGGGATGGTAAGCATAATATGCAATGGCACAATTTGTAATTTCTCTAGTAAAGCTTGTCTTAATTAGAAATTGGGCTGAGAATGAACCTGGTGATGACACATCAGCAGTGGCACTCTTGTTAATAACACAATGGACAAAGGTTATTTAGTTAGTGTTTTCTCTTTTAATATATTAGGAATAGGTCGTATTGTATGCAAAAAAAAAAAAAAGATCATTATGTCATATGTGTAAACAATATGTATTCAAGGCGTGACACATGAAGTAATTATAGTACGAGATGAAATATATCTTGTCACATATGTACTCACTCCATTTCAGAATGTATGATGTTTTAGAGTTTTTACACAATAAGAAATATTTATTGTTTAACAATTAATGAATCTTTCTCTTGCATAAACCATTTTTTACAAAATATTAACCAATAGAAATTCAAGAATCCAATTACTTTTAATCAATAGTCATTAAAGTTTGTAATTTGTTAACATTAATTGACAAAAGTGCTTTAAAAACTCTAAAACATCATACATTATGAAATAGAGGGAATATATAATTACTTTTTACATATGTAATGCTTACTTTTTGCATATGTAATGCTTACTTTTTACTATGATCACTACATATTAGATTAAGGATTGGTATTAACATATTACCTAAACCGAGTCGAATCGAATAGGAAGTTAACTAGTATAAGCTCATCCTTGCATAATATCAAATATGAATTAAACTGTTAAGATAGATCTTTTGGGAATGTCCTTATGTGTTCTTCCCAGAGTTGACAACATTTCCCAATTTTAAAGAAGAAAGATGATATTTTATTGCTAGAAATAATCATCAATGATTTTTTATTTGGGGTTATGATAAAACATACATTCAATCCATCGAGGTTGCATTTGGATGAATGATTATATGGATAGAAAACTTATAAAAAAACTTTCTCAAACCTTTTAGTAAACTATTAAATATTAGCTGACTTTTGAACCGTTAATGTACATGTATCAAAGATTTATAAATGGTTAAAAAATCAGTTAATATTTGAGAATCAGAGCTGTCACCAATATGCTTCTGGAAGTGGATTCATCGGTGGACCAAGCTATTTTATTTGTTAACGAGGCATCTTCGACACACAAGCTCCATATGTTTCTGAACCACATGGTCTGGGACGTGACCAACGTACAATGCTTTAAGATGTCAGAGGCAGCACAAGAGAATCTTGTCAAAGAGTTTAAAAGCTGCCTCACAAGTGTCTTGATAACTAGTGATGCCTTCTCTACAAGAATCGACTTTCCCCATGGAAACATGGTCATCAACTTCGATCTCCCACAAGATACCACCTCTTACTTGCAGAGGTTGTCTAGGGTTTCAAGGTTTGAGAAAAAGGGAGCAGCTTTTAACCTTGTCTTGCCGAATTGCCTTGATTATATGACTAAATTGGAAAAGCACTTCGAACTTAAGCATAAAGAGGTAAAACACAACTACACTCTTCTTCTGACTTTTGTTTTGCTTAAACTCAAAAATTGTTGGTTTTTCTTGTTTTTCTGCAGATTCAACCATGGAATTGCATTGATTCTTACAAATCCGCATTCAAGGAAGCAAGAATGGGCGAAGGCGAACTTTATCATATCGTTTTGACTTTTACATCCAAAACAGTTGCGAATCATCAACTTTGGAACTCAAATTACCTCCATAAAATATGAGTACCAAAATTCTCAACTTCAAACAGTAACATTATAGATGGTTCAAATGTTTAACGACGAAGAAAAGGGCAAGATATATTGGTTACTCAAAATAAATGGTATAACGAAAACAAGCTTTTCACTCTTTAGTTGGTTTACTATGAGAGACACACAAAAAAAAAACTATGGAGCAAACATATGAATTATACAATACTTTGTTTTTATTTTGTATGGATCGTGTTTATCTCATAAGTTTAGATAAATGGTAGATGCAAATGTCACAATCTTAACTTCAAGTCTCATAAATTACTTATGGTTAGTATATAATAGGGTATATATGGTTAATTTTATATGATACCCAAATTTGGTAAGGGTCGGAATGAATGCACGCTGTTTTTTGTTTTACTTTTCCGAGTGCATGTCGTTTTATTCTCTTAAAACGGCAATCAAATAGTCAAACAACGACGTCATTTTAACGAGCAGAGCTTCCTTCGAATTCATCACGAATCAAATCTCCTTTGCGTCAATTTTAATCTGAAACTTCCGATTCCAATTTTACAGACCTAAGCTCCTTCCAAAATCCCAAGCCTCTCCCTCAATCTACTCTCGCTTGTTGCAAATCAGAATCATCAATGGATCTGGAGATTGTTGGCCGTCACGCTCTATTTTTCGACGACGATTCGATGGCAACGTTCGTCAACTCCCCGACGGCGCTCGTTGACTGGAACAGCCTTTTAATTGACCGGTACGATGTTCGTCACCTCCTCTCTTCTCCTCCTCCTCCGCGTCAGAAGCGCCGTCGTCCGTTTTCAGATGACCCTGACTTGGAACCGGAGCTCGATCACGAGCGTTATGTTGATTTATCGACGGAATCGCCATCGCCGTCGCACTGTGATAACGGTAAGGATGAGGAACCTCGTAGAATCCTCGTTTTATTCCTAGTTTATTGAATTGGCGAAGAGGCTCGAATTAGTTATGTAAAGAGACATAAAAACGTTATAGACAATGCTATCGATTAATTCAGCTCAAATCGTGATTTGTTTATTGAGGGATTGAGTGGAGAATGGCTGATTCTAGGTTTACAAAAAGCTCCACATTCTTTTCTCTGTGTCAAGATGATTTATTTTTCTTTGTATGCTCACTCTTCTCTTGATCTCATAGAGTATGGTTTCACATTTGTACCTCAGATGTAAACGATGATTCAGCAAATCCAAGTGCCGGCGATTTTCGTGCTGTTGCCTTTTCATACGGAAGCACCAATGATTCCAATGACCAGAAGAATGATGATGTGGAATCTGAGTTTCACCCGCCTTTCACCGTGCCTGATTATTTACTTCAGAACGTGGTAAGTTACTGTTTTACTAGATTGTTCCCCTTTAGAATTATGGCACTTTTGCTCACTTGTTTGGTTACTCAACTGATATGGCCATGAAAACATCTGTAAGGTGCATGTGTTATTCTAAGGACTATCGTGTCTAAGTTTCAGATGCTCGGAGAAGAGATGGACTTGTCTAAGGTTGCCATTCACAGGCACCTTGTTTCCTTTCGCTGCCATGACACGGGGCGGTGCAGGTGGGGTTAAGATGATAGAAATTCATGACTTACCAAGAACCTGAAATAATGAGTGCACATCAGATGATGATGCATTTCTATACTGTTCTGATTTTTGCAAATTTATGGTTCTTCATACTTATGTGAGATTTCAATATGTATATATACATGTGTGTTGCCTAGGCATCATGAGATTTCAGATTACTAATTGTATTTTTCTTGTACATTGTTTTCTTCCTTCTTTCAGCCCCCAACTGAGAAATTACATCAGATCATCGCAAAAACTTCAAGTTTTGTGAGAAAACATGGAGGGCAATCTGAAATTGTCTTGAGAGTCAAACAAGGAGGCAACCCAACATTTGGATTCCTGATGCCAGACCATCATCTTCACCCTTACTTTAGGTTTCTTGTTGAACATCAGGAGCTTTTGACAGGAAAGTCTTCTGTGGAGGAGAAAAAAGTTGAAGGTGGGAAGGATGTTGGCGCTTTGTCCTTGCTTGGTTCGGTTTATGGGACTGAAGAAGATGAAGATACTAAAGAGGAGTCTGCAAAGGACTGCAAAACAAATGAGTCTGCTGGAGGTGATGACGGTGTTAAGGTAACCGATTCCAATGGACCTGAAGGGTCAAAAGGAGTTCCAAAGATTGCCACAGAAGGAGGTGCAGCCTCTAAGCAGAATGATCAAGCATCTTTCGTAAAAAGAAACCCTTCTGTCATCGCAGTAAATGTTGTAGAGAGGAAGCAGGTCAATACAGAAGATACTACTACAGAAAAACATTCGACTTCTGAGAAGTTGCAATCTTCTGCAATGCTGGCACAGCCCAAGCTTGAAATGCCGATTGTGGAGCCGCCTGTTGAGATGAAAAGAGTGATTGAGAAGATTGTAGACTTCATCCAAAAGAACGGGAAAGAACTTGAGGCTACTCTTGCCGCACAGGATGTTAAATACGGGATGTTTCCATTCTTACGTCCAGCTAGCTTATACCATGCATATTTTCGAAAAGTTCTCCAAGAAGCCGAAGAGGTACTTCTATTTCAAGCTCCTAGATAATCCCTGCTTTAGATTTGGTGTGTGTTCCTGTGCTTGAAACTTTATGATTTTAGCTTTCGGCTAACAATATACTCTGTTGTTTGATTTCATTTGCAGTTGAAATCATGTGGCAAAGGCGAGATTACCAAAAAGGAAGACATGAAGCAAGAAAAGATAGGAAATGCTGTAAAAGACGACAAACCAGCTTTTGGGAGCGTCTTACCGGATGATTCCACCAAGAACGAGAAACTAAATATGGTCAGTGACAAACCAAAGATTGTGTCACACAAAGAAACATTCAAGCCAGTCGAACCGCAGATGAGGGTCAATGTAGATGTGAATACCGCTGCTGCTATACTTCAAGCTGCCAGAAGAGGCATAAGGAATCCCCAGTTAGGGATTCTATCAGGCAAACCCTTGAATGAGACTGCTCAGAGCCTCGAAAATGATGGAAGTAATACTTCATCAAAGTCTCCTGATATGGCCAAACCCATGGGTCAACTGATTTCGGGCTCGGCTGCTGTTAGTGATGCTGATTCTTCTGAATCAGGCTTGTCTAAGGAGCAGAAGTTGAAGGCAGAAAGGTTGAAACGTGCAAAGATGTTTGTGGCCATGCTAAAACCTGGTGCCCAGACAGCACAAGAAGCTGAACGATCGCGAAGCTTATCAGTCGAACCGTTGGACTCTGGGATTTCTGGATTAGGTTCTAATGCTGTCAAAGAAAGAGAAGGTAGCTTACCTGAGACGAAACAAGCTGATGATGGCAACAACGAAAGACGGTCAAAGAGGAATTACCGTGCCAGATCACAGAGAAATGAATATGATGAAATGAGAGAAGAAGAAGACGATGAGCAGAGCAGCATGGAGGGAGTTACAGAAGAAACCAAGACTGAGAAGAAGCATTCAAGTAGAAAACGGCATGATAGGCATAAGCATAAGACGAGACACTCTTCCAAGGACAGGCACAAGCATGAGAGCTCCTCAGAGGATGAGTATCACAGTCGTTCACGTCATAGGCACAGACACAGAAAATCCTCTGATAGGCATGAGGTATATGATTCTTCTGACAGTAGTGACCGTGAGCACCGACACAAGTCTAGTAAGCATAACAACGATGCTGGTTATTCCAAGGACAGGCATAGCCATCGTCACAGATCTAGGAAGCATGATAAGCATCGTAGTGACTCAACTGATGATGAGCATCGCCGTTACGACCGGCACAGATCCAGTCGACGCAAGCACGAGGACTCTTCAGACGCTGAGCATGGTCATCGACACAAGTCTAGTAAACGTGTGAAGAAAGATAAGAAAACAGAGGAAGAAGAGACTGTTTCAAAGTCAGATCTTAAAGCTGCTACTGAAGATAACATCCCGTGCCTGCAAAACGAACCAACTCAAGTTTCGGATGAGCTAAGAGCGAAAATCCGTGCCATGTTAGCTGATACCTTGTAAGTTCAATATTTATTCATCGCATACGACTTTCTGATATCTACTAGTTTAGTGTTGACAATGTCGATTGGGTTTTGATCGATTATCGGGTTGATTGGTTTTCAGGTGAAAGTGGATGGTGAACATCTAAGGCATAGGAAACGATGTCTTTGTGTAAAGGCCGTCTCTTTGGGATGCTTGGAAGTAGGATGAAGTTAAGAGTGAGTTTGTCTCACTTTTGTAAGAAAGAAAGCTCTACGAAGAAGTTTACCCTTATTGGATGGACCTTTACTTAGCCTCTGCTTTTTGGATTGAATTGGCATATTATTAGAAAAATACTCCTTGGGTTCCAATCTCTCTTTTTTTGCTATCTTCTGTATATTTTATCTTCTTAAATTCCATTGGTTAATGCTTTCAACGAAATACAACGTTAAACTCCTGAAAAGACAGAAACAACTTTGATTGCAGGAAGATACAATTGGCGACTCAAGACCTAGAAATGAGGTGCACTCATAAGTTTGAGAACAGACAATGAACTACAAACAAAAACAAACCCAAAGAACCTTAGCAATGAATTCTAGATCTCCCAGTTCGATTTCATCATGCCTAACACCTCCTCCACTATTTAACTCCATCAAAATCTGAATCGCATCCTCTATATTCCTCATCATCCGCTAATATTTAGAAAGATAATCAAAATATTAAGTTTTTCACATTTCATGCATGATTTGTCAATACAAATCTTGTGGTAAGAAAAGATATTGTTGTTTAGCTTGCCTCGTCAGAAAAGAAACATAGTCCTTTTATCTTGGTAATCAACTCAAATTTCGGATAGGTAAGAGCCAACATACGTGCCATGTTAGCTGATACCTTGTAAGTTCCGTTTTAAAATTCATCGACTATCATAAGACTTTTGGTATCTACTAGTATAGTGTTGACATTGTGGATCGGGTCTGATTGATTATCCGGTTTGATTGATTGTCAGGTGAAATGGGTCGGTGACCATCTAAAGTGTAAAAATCATTAAAAATTTTAAACGACGACTTTGTGTAAAGGCCGTCTCCTTGAGATGCTTGGAAGTAGGGATGAAGTTAAGAGTGTGTTTGTTTTCACTTTTGTTGACGTATAAGAAAGAAACTCTACGAAGAAGTTTAAAAAAAAAAAAAAAAAATTGTTGTCAATGTCATAGTGAATTCATTACTTGAAGCTTACCCTTATTGGATGGACCTTACTTAGCCTCTCTTCTCGATTGAAAAGGCAAATCATTATCAAAACCTCCTTTTTGTGTTCGAATCTCTTTCTTTTTGCTACCTCTTGTATATTTTATGTTCTTAATTACTTCCATTTGCTAATGCTTTCTTGGAGCTACACTTTCTTTTCTGCTTTTTGTATTTATTTACCGTTAATTTGAAATTTTCAATGTTCACCCTTTCCATTGCTCTCAACTTCATATTAGTGCTAAAGAATATTTGGATTAAGGGTTTACCTTCAAATCGATAAAAATAAACACGTACAAAATATCTCGGGCGGTTTTCTACTTTTGTCAATATCAAACTTTTCACATTTTTTCCACCATTAACAGAAATCTACATTTGTAATAGGCTTAAACACATGACACTCCCAAAAACGTTCGGCTCTGCTAAAATGTTACGAAATTCGTGATACTCTACCAATCGGTTAACAGCTAACATATTTAACAATGAAAATAGTATAGGACAAGACGACGTTTGCAAATTGCAATAACCGTTTGTTCTGATCATCAATCTCTTACCACCTTTCTAACATAAAACCAGAAAGTTGCTGCTGACATAGTCTTTTAGAATTGCGAAATTCTCATACGTTGAAAACTCTTCTTCTTCTTTTTATATAATTTGCTTCTTTTTTCCTCGTATACGTTTCCAAAAAAATTGCAACGGAAAAATCGTTCATGCACCAAACGAATAACAGAAGTGGGAATTAACAGAAAAATGTAAAGAGTATAAAAACAAAGGAACGTCTGTTGAAGAAACCTTACTAAAAACGCTATTAAAAACATAGCGTGAGTTTACTTGTCACTTTTCACTTCACGCTTTCGAAACCTTTTTCTTTAGATCCCAATCACATGTATGAACCCGCGTTTGTTTTAGCCGTCCATTTCCCCTAAAAGCCAAGAAAAAAACAGTTTCAATTATTAAACAAAAGATCTCTCTAGCTAGCTATATTCAAATATTTTAATTTCAATCTAGAAACTTAAATGAAAATGATTTGAATCCAACTGTATTCTCTAAGCAAAGTAGAGATGCGAATAAATTTTCCCAACACCTTCTTCTTTCTTTTAAAACCTTTTAGAAAGAATCTGCTTACATAACCAACAGCTTGCATTCCAATTAAAGAGATCTCACATAATGAAGTTACACACATTCGCAATTTCAGTGTTTTCACACTGCTGTTGCAACCATTTAACTTTACAGCACCATTTAAACCTTTATATTAAAAAAAAAAATCAAATCGGAAGAGTTGATTTAGCTGGTTAAGAGTAACTTGGGTCACTGTGGTTAATTCAGAATTAATCATGTACTCAAAACATAAAACAGTAAATTACATTTTGTTTAAATGAAGTTAATTGCAACTAATTTTGGTAGTTTTTTTTTTGTTTTTGATAAAAAATTTGGTAGTTGAAGTCATTGTTAACTTTACAATTGAAGAAAAGAACTATTGTAACTAGCACCGTTAGCAAGAAAATGTGTGGAAATGATAAAACTTTATAGTAAATGAAAATAAAATTCACAATGATACTCAGACTACTTAATTTACAATATTTATCAGAACTTTGTTTTCGAGTTTCCAGTTGTAACTGATTGTTAGGTATATAAAAATAATATTAGGAGAGTTGAGACATTGATAAACCGTAAACGACCCAGCAAATAACTTGTTAACAATAGATTATCCTCACGCTAATCCCGCACTTAGCTTGTTCTTCCGCCACGTGGCCGCATCTTTAACTTCTTAATCTTTTTTAGTTTCCTTTGTGCTTTTGTTATCCCCTTATTGGTGGATCGAAGTTACGGCGCCGTCCACTCTGGCGTCATGCCGTCAAAGCTGTCATTGTCCTATCTTCTTCCGCCACGTGTCTAGATTCACACAAGACGCAACCCCATTCGCCAATTGCCTCTGCCACACAAAATGTTTGAGAAATAAACAAAAGGCCCACAAAAAGTAAGAGCTTTACCAAATTTGTATGTTTTTTTAATCATATTCGTATACTCTACAATTCTACATTATACTTTGCTTTTTTTGGTTTTATAGTACATTATATTTGATAATAACAAAAATTACAGAATACATTATAATTTGGGGTATGGTTTTAGATATATGTTAAAAAACTTGAAGAGCAACGATCGTAGCTAGTGATCTAGTAACATTATTAATCTGGCTATATATATATATATATTATCCACATGTAAGTGAAATAACTATATGTAAACTGAGGGCATGTGTTTTGATCAAACAGTTAAATCCAAAATATAAATGCAACATTACCTCTGGAAAGAGTTATTTATATTTCATGAACTCCCCATAGATAAGATTTTAACGAATACTACTGTTTGAGATTACTATAAAGTTTTTTTGTAGTATAAAAATACATAAACGTATATAGTCTATTAAGCAAAACAAAATTACATAAATGCATACATCACACACCTTAAGTAAGGATCTTGTTATTTTATTTGTTTATTTTCTTAATGCCATTTTTATCAAACTTACAAATCTGAAGTTCCTATCTAAAAATTTGCACAAGTAGAGCATAAAGGGTTTATATCAAATGGTCTATTTGATGCATAGTTGATTGAAACTTTGATGGGCAATTAGCCATTTCAATTTTTTTTTTCCCATTTTGTACCTTTGTGCTTTAATTATGTGCCCTTCTACCAACCAAAAACAGTTAAAACATTCCTGCATTACTTATCTTTGACGTGAAAATAAGAGTAAATGCAGTGAAAAATAATGCAATCAATATTTTAAAATATTACAATCTTGAAGAATCGCTAGTACAATACAGTATTAGTATGTCATTTGTTATGTAATTCATGCTAATAAATACAAGGACATGATTAAGTCATGGTTCTTTAATTTTCTAATGGAAGAAGAACTTACCAATGAGGTAATGATCAAGTCATATTTATTTCCTTTTTTTAACGACTCGCATTTTGAATTCGAACCTAAACGGCTGTATTAGATCTCAGAAAGAAAACAATAATCATAAAAATCAAATTAAAGTGGAAGATAAGGTAAAGTTTTGGTGCTTAATAATTGGAGGAGAAGAATAAAAATTAAAAGAATGTCATCTCTCTGTTTCAGACTCTGAATTAAGACACCAAAACCCCATGCCAAAGTCATATATACATACACAAAAGTTGTGCTGTGTGAGTGTGTCTTACTGTGTATATATAAACAATCACATCATAACTCTTTCCTTCAACATTTTAAACCTCTGAGATCTCTCTCTCTCTCTCTCTCTACAAGTTTATTTCTCTCTTTAACTATCTCCTCTGTTTTCTCTTGCTCTGTTCCAATGGAAGAAAAAAACTGGACAAGAGGACCAATCATAGGCCGAGGCTCAACCGCCACTGTCTCACTAGCGATCGAAAATTCCGGTGAATTCTTCGCCGTCAAATCCGCCGAGTTTTCTTCGTCGGCGAGTTTGCAGAGAGAGCAATCGGTTTTGTCGAATTTGAGCTCTCCTTACGTAGTCAAGTACATTGGCTCTGGTTTAACGACGGAGAACGACACGCTGATGTACAATCTCCTGATGGAGTATGTTTCCGGCGGGAGTATTCACGATATGATCAAAAACTCTGGCGGGAAGTTGCCGGAGCCGGCGATCAGATCCTACACGCGTCAGATACTGAAAGGTTTGACGTATCTCCACGATCGAGGGATTGTTCACTGCGATGTGAAGAGCCAGAATGTGATGATCGGAGAGGTTGCGAAGATCGCCGATTTGGGTTGTGCTAAAACGGTGGAGAAGAACGGGAATTTGGAATTTTCCGGTACACCGGCGTTCATGTCGCCGGAGGTAGCAAGAGGAGAAGAGCAGAGTTTTCCGGCTGATGTGTGGGCTTTGGGGTGTACGGTGATAGAGATGGCTACTGGGTTAAGTCCTTGGCCGGAGCTAAACGACGTCGTCGCTGCGATTTACAAGATTGGTTTCACCGGTGAGTCGCCGGAGATTCCGGAGTGGTTATCGGAGAAAGGTAGAGACTTTTTGAGGAAATGTTTGAGAAAAGATCCGAAACAGAGGTGGGCTGTTGAAGAATTGCTTCAACACCCATTTCTCGACGATGACGAAGACGACGAGGACGATTCTCAAATTCAATCTCGTAAATGTCTGAATTCTTCTTCTCCTAGTACTGTGTTGGATCAAGGTTTCTGGAATTTATGCGAAACCTCGACAAGTCGTGTAATTGAAGAGGATCATGAAAACCCATTTGCAAATTCGTCAAATTTATGGGAATCTTCGCCGGCTGATCGGATCAAGAAACTCGCCGGAGATGAGAATTCCGGCGAACCAGAGTGGATTACGGCGGAGGAGGAGGAGGGGGAATGGGTTGAAGTTAGGGGTAACGAAACCGGAGAGATAGAGAAACGTGACGAAGAAGACGAAGATGCGAATTGCGTTGAAGCAACGTCATGGGAGGAGGAAGAAGAAGTGGGAGGATTTGAGAATTGGATCTTGGATCAAGAATACAGTTTCTTCTTGGAATATTCTTCCACTGAGAACAATATTAATTACTTTTACTCTACAGCTAATAACCTCCTTCAAGAGGATATAATTCTTTATTATGATCATCTTCAAGATGCTTGTGTACTCAAAAATGATAATTTTCGTGACAATAATGAGAATAACCATTTCTTTAGCCTAGCTACATTTTACGAGTTATTTTTTAGATTCTTTACCTCAGTCCATCCGACGCCGGTTTTGTCAATTACACCGAAAACTATTGTGTCAAATTTTAAAACATTGTTCTCTATACTTTTAGTTTTATGTGATCTAATGTTTGACGATTGTTATAGTTGACCAAAGTAGACGATTATGTCATCAGTTGTGACTTGTCATTTGTTGCGTACTTTTATTACCACATTGAGCTCTCCTTAACATAGTCAAGCACACTGTAACTTTTAAAAATGTCAACTAGATGATCATTTCATACTACTGAAATTATAATTTAATGTCTTAGAAAAACTAACATGTGTGGCTATAGTTTTGTATTGTAACTTGTAAGACATACAATCAGTTATCAAATTAATTGTGGTAATGAAAATGGACGACTAGATGATGAATTCGAACCTCTAAAAGTTATGACCGTGAGTTAAAAAAACCATTTATTACGAGCATTTGTATTTACTACTGAAAAATGATGTAAACGAGAATTATGTTGACTGTTAAAAACAGATAAGTAATTAGGCTATGTATTCAAACGATTTACCGGACATTAGACAATATCTAATTAAGCTTTTACTAACTTCAAAGGTTTCTAGAAATATTATGTGATAATTTTCTTGTACTGAAGGTAGTTAAACTTTGAAAGGCTGTATTAGGGGAAAGTCGTCGTCGTCGGTTGATGTGTGTGTTTGGTAAGGAAGTTAAGTACGGAAACCACTCTATACCATGATATTGACTTTGTACGAAGTCCAATTATTTTAGTTTGGTCTAACATTTATCTACTTTTAATATTCTTTTTGTGATTACCAAAACCACAAAGAGTTTCGTTCAAATGTGAAAGCATAAGACTTTTGCATTTGGGGTCTATAACCAAAGTTGGCGTTTACTTTCTACACACTAAGCAAAGTTTGGTATTCTTGGCCAAGTTCATTTGCGTTGACTTTTATCTCAATTATCTAGGGTCGATGCCTTTATTAATTAATTAGTAAAACCAAACAAGTCGTCCCAGTTTCGTTATATATTCAGTTATAAGTATGGAGAAAAGTTGTTTGCTGTTTTATAACTTGTCTTCTAGTCAAACAAGTTATACTTTTTTTTTTGGTATGAGAGTTCTTAAATCAAACTTGTTTTCCAAACCGGTTAGCATGATTTGAGATCAGATTGCAAAGTTTAGAATTAGATGGTCGATAATTCGATGTAAGTTTATACGTTTTGAATCACACATTTGATACCTAACTAAATGAATGATATCTTAATCAAACACGGTACTGGCAAATAAGCTATCTAAAGAAAAGTAGGTTTAAGTGTCCCACTTAATGTCCAAAAGGCTGTTGGTGAATCGGTGATCGATGACTCTATGTGGATGTCAAAATGACCTCATGCATAAAAGTCAAAACTCATGTTATAATTCGAAATATATATATATATATATATATATATATATATCAACGTTTTTTTAGTGACAAAGTAGGTTTGTTGACAACCATTAATCATCATACAAGATTCAAACAAGCTTATTAGTGATAAGTTACGTACACATATTGTCATGATTCGACTAAATGACATAGTTTTATGATACTAGAAATAAACCAATGACCAACTAACGACATAGTAACTGATAAATAGTGATTGATTGAGCTAGCTAGATTTGTATACATTTTATCAAAACACTTCTAAGTTTCACCATATCTCTACAATTTTTGGGAAATATATATGGGTTTATAAATGAAAATTACAGTATGTTTAACGAAGAGATATCCCCTAATTTTCACGACTTTGTTTTCCCCTCAAAATTATCAAAAACTACTATCACCCGAGACACAGATAACATTTTCAGTTTAGAGCCACTTTAAATGTGACTTAAATAAATTTTAAAAGGCTGACTTTAGAAAAGGTGGAAGTGTTGTCGTTGGCACACACACACTACACCACAAATCGTCTTTAGTCCTTTTTTCTTTAAACAAAGAAAGAAAGTTTTTGCTCATCTTTCATGTATTCCACTTGGATTGCAGTAGTAGGTTGTATATAGACTCTAAACCCTTATCCATTTCAACTTGTAATCCCTTTTCTAACATATTATTATATATGAGCAAAAGTTAATACGGCCAAAAGAGATTGGCATATTTTCTTTCTAACGAAATATTTGATATTTTTTTATGGTTGTCATGTTTAACTTGTATGTATGTAATCGGCTTACACGCAAGATTCCAAAGAACCGTTATCGGTACAAGTGTGTTTGGTTTAACGAAATATCCGAATATACAAATATCGATGGCTTATGCTTTTATGTGTAGGTATATAATTTGATGCAACGATGACAGGTTATAAATCCACAAAATATGCTTAAATTTTGTGGATATGTAGAAAACCAAACACACTATCTATGCTTAAATTTTGTACAATCTAAATAGACTAGAGATATCTATGCTTAAATTTCAAATCCACAAACTTTTACAGAAGAAGTACGTTATGTTGGATGTTGGATGTTGGATTTGGTTTACTCGATTAGTTGGTACTCGGTTATATCGTTTTTCATGAACACCATCAATGTTAACCCTTTATGTTATTTGTTTCTTATCTAAAAGATTAATATCGTTTTTTATATATGTGGATTTAACTAGTATACACATTATTAACGTTCATAAAAGCATCACACGTAAAATTCGATTTTAAAGAGCGTGGATCTTGTCCAATAATCAATTACCAAAGCACATCGCCACATCCCATCCACCACCACCAACTATTAGTACCTAAATCTTTTTCTAAAAGCTATTAAGAAAGCAATGCATAGGTTCATTTCAGGCCTCTATATTATCAGCAAATACATTTATTATTTGAATGCCTAAACAACGTCGCTTCTATAATGATTAAAAAGAGTATCTTCTTCCCACCGTCTGGCTATTTTTTTTGAAACTGAAATAGATATCGAAGCTACTGTCAATGGATGCTACGGCGGTGACATTTTGGTCCTCTGTCGGGTTTTGTACATATTTATCGAATAAGCTAAAGCGAGAACTATTGAGTTTTTGACACGATTTACTCTCAGTCTTAAGGATATTATGTACACACTTTTATTATGCTACTGACACTCATAACTTGAGACACTCTCTTTTTTGTAGAGGAACACTCTGGCTCACATGAGCAATCTACTCTTGGCTTTTTGGAAGTTGCATCAGGGACATAAGAGATAAAAGTATTCTTACTTCGATATAGACCCAAGTTAAAATCGAAGATAGGAAAGTTTGTGAAGTAGTATCATAAAAACCCACGCACAACCAAAACATATCTTATGTATCTTTGCATCACATCATGAAACAATCAATCTCCATGGAAATGAAAATAATTTACCCAATAAAAAAATCAGTGGCATTATTTTAAGTCAAAATTGTAACATTTTGTTCAAACTGTATGTGGATAATAAATAAATAAAACCCAATACACCGATGGCTTTACCCAGCCACGGCAAAAACTCTTGGAACTATCAAGAAACTCCAGAAAAAAAAAAGTTTGGTTTTTTTTTCTTCAAAGCATCATTTTGCAGATTGCATATCTGTAATGGTTACCTGAACGGAAACTGGTAAAAAAAAGACAAAAGGAGACACGTATCATCTCTTCTTCTGTGTCGAATCTTTCTTTCTTCATATGTCGAGAAGAAGCCTCTGAGGATCTTCAACAACATCCTTAATACGGCGCAAGAAATACACAGCCTCTCTTCCATCAATCAGCCTATGATCGTAAGTCAGTGCGACATACATCATCGGCCTCGGCACTACGCTTCCTCCCACAACCATTGGACGTTGTACAATCGAATGCATTCCAAGAATAGCAGACTACACATACGAGAGATTTGTCTTCCGTTAGTAAGGCAACAAAATAAATAAATCTGGTTTTTAGTAGTATTTGTGAGGATCGAATCGAACCTGAGGAGGGTTAATGATAGGAGTGCTTATGAGACTTCCATAGACACCACCATTTGATACTGTGAATGATCCTCCAGCCATCTCGTCGATTGATATGGTTCCTTCATTAGCCTTCTTCGCAAGAGAGTTTATCGTTTTCTCTATCTCAGCAAAGTTCATTTGGTCAGCTCCTCTTATGACTGGAACCACAAGACCCTGTGGGAAATAAAACAGAAAAGAGGGAATCAATCACTATTACCTCAAAAGCCCAAGATGATATTAGAACTAAATTTTTTGGATATCTATATCAAGTAAATTGTAGAAACTAACCTTGGAGGTACCAACGGCGATACTGATATCAACGTAGTCTCTGTAAATGATATCGTCTCCGTCGATCACTGCATTCACTACTGGTTGGTGCTGGAGGGCACTCACAGCAGCCTGAAACAAACAGTTAAAAGAAGCTTACTTTATCAGTAGAGTTCTCATATGTTCATTAGCTCAGAAAAGTTTTCAAGTTTTTCAAGCTTACTTTAATGAAACCAGACATGAGCCCCAACTTCACTCCATGCTTCTCGAAAAATGCATCCTTGTATTGAGATCGGAGCTTCATCAGATTAGTCCTACGTGAGAGGAAATTTTTGTTGGCAAACTAATGGTTGGGTGATGATAATTAGAGCACCAAAAGAATTGCATAATGATAATAGACATATCTACACAGGGCTTTTAGCTGTAACTCACATGTCAACTTCATTGAAAGTTGTCAGCAGCGCAAAAGTGTTTTGAGAGTCTTTCAACCTTGTTGCAACACGCTTGCGAAGTCTTGTCATTGGAACCTGCAATGTTGTTAAGAAGCCAACCATATCATCAGATCATTTTCATGTAAAACGCTTTTCTGTCATACGGAAAACAAACAGACATATTATCTAGCAAGTAAAAAGACTAATGAAACAGTTTGCATACCCTTCTTTCCCTATCCTTAGGGGGAAGCTGCGGTTCTTTAGCTGACTGTTTAGACGGTGGTGGGGTTGATGCTGCCTTGGGCTTCTCTGCAACTTTAGTAGTTTCAACTTTGGGCTTCTCAGCAGGAGGAGAAGGCTTGGGAGCAGGCTTCTCTGGTGTCTTTTCTGATTGTTCAACATGAGACACAGCATCCGCAGACTTTGAAATAATAGCTACCTTGTGTCCCGGTTCAACAGTATCTCCTTCCTTGACTAGAAACTGCATAGAAGGAAACAATTAGTTAAGCATAGGAACACAGGAGAAGAGCCACAAGAACAATAAGCGACATAATTGTTTTTTACCTCTTGAATCACACCACTTGCTGGGCTAGCAATATCAATTGTCACCTAAATAAAGTACAGAGATGAGTCAAACACTAGTATTAGTAAAGCTACAACAGAAATCTGCAAAATATCTATTGTAAAATAAGAAATATGGAGATTACAAATCAAGGAATTGTTTGATACCTTGTCAGTTTCAATTTGTGCAATTGGCTCGTCAGCTTCTACTCTCTCACCAGGTTCTGCAAGAACAACATTAAAAGCACCAACAAAAGAGATATTAGATACAGACATGCACCGACAATAAACGGATCAGAAGATATAGCAAAGAAAAGCATACTCTTCAGAAAAGTGGCTAGGGTTCCATCGGTGATTGATTCACCCATGTGAGGCACAACAGCTTCCACGACATCACCTTCATTCACAATACAAGCAAGTGTATTAAAAACAAAGGCCTAGAGAGCCTAGAAATACAAGTTACGGTAACAGTAGAGAGCAAAACTCAATTAAGCAACACGTCTCATAAAAGTCTGAATCAGAAATGAAATGATGATTGTAGACAAGGTGAGATGCATCATTAAAGGTCACTTGGCTAAGCTACTGTGGATTCCAAAACATAGGGAATAAACGTAAAAAGAGAGTATATTAAGCTAGAGCAATCATACCACTATCAGATGAAAAAGGCCTGACCCATCGTTGCAGGGTTGTGCCTTGGAAGCTGCTTAAAACAGCCCTACACAAATGAATATAAAAATATCTGTGAGGCCAAAGGTACAATAAGGAGATTTAACTCTATTCATGAACAAACAAAACTGATCCTCCTAACCTCGAGCACTCTGAACACCCTGCAAAAAGATGAAAATAAAACAAAAAAACTGTCAAATAAAAGAGACTAAACTTGCAAAATAAAATCACAAAAAAGGTCTACACTATATACCTGGACACGAGCGATGATGGAAGCTACGAGCATGGTTTCCAAGCGTCTGCACAATTCAGAAATGACAGTTATATAGCTTGTTCTTGGATGAGAAACTGAAATGACTCTGAATCACGAATAGAACGTACCTCTGTTGATGAAACAGAATGAAAGCTGTGCGCAGACGCTGCAACACGAGAAGACTGCAGTGATTTTCCCAATCCCTGAAAGAGTAAGAGAGCGATTAAATAAAACTACCATAAATCTGATCAAAATCAGCGACGAATCTAGACGAAAAGGAACACTAACCGAAGCAGAAGAGCCTCTAGTGGAAGCTCTCCGTATAACAGCACGCAACATCATCGCACCGAATCTCTGTATTGTGATAGAAAGCAATCAAATATCAATATACGTCGGTGAGATTCAACACTCGTAATCCAATCGTAACGCACAAACATGAGAAAACAAAAAATATAATAGGCGAAATGGAAAAGTGAAATGGGAAAACTTTCCTCATCCTAGAACTTTCTCAAAATCAGAAACCCGAATCCGGCCAAAATAGCTCAGATTCGTAATCTCTCTGATCGTGATTTTCACATAAAACGAGAATGAATCAAAGGAAAGCTCGAGAGATCGAAAATCTAACCAAAGAGCTGGAGAGAACCTTGAGCGCCGAATGAGAAAGTTAGGGTTTGCAGAATCGAATGAGGAGAGAGAGAGAGGACTGGGGAAAAGCATATGACTTTTCTGAGCTTTGAGCAAGTCACAAGAATATGGCAATTTCACCGGATTTCACACGTGTCAATTTTCCTTGTAGTGACTAAAATGAATATATGAAAACATTTAAGATCGGCAATACTCTTCCAAATTTGGTGGATTCAATAATGTCTGAAAAGAGAAAGTCAACAAACGACACCGTTTACATAACAACAAACGGCCCATTGGCCCAGTAGAGTAGTAGTAACCCACGTTATCCAAACCAAACGCCGTCGTTTACAATGTTTCATTTCTGATTTTTCTATCTTTGTTGTTTGATATAGAAACCAGTGAATTATTCCGTAGAACTGAGTTGGAAAAAAAACAAAATTCTACAAATGGAATGGAATGAAATGTGAAACATCCTCATCATGTTATGAAGATGTTTGGTGTATATAATGATCAACATTTTGCTGCTCACTTGTTTCTGGAGATGACTCTATGGGTCAAGTCAATAAGTGCTCGTCTCGATCTTTTGACATCTTCATCATCTGTCTCCGGTAAAGACCCAATTGCTGCGGCTGCGAGATTAGCATGTTGTATAGCTAACTCTCTTGTCCTTTGTATACCCTTGCTCTTCCCAAGATATCCTAACGCCTGAGTAGTTTTTACATGAAAACATGAGAGACTTTGAAAACGTATAAGAGAATTTAGTTAGGAGTTTTGTTTCTTTTTCAAACTTACAATGTCAACATTCGTTGGATCTTCTTCAAGCTGATCTACAACATTGCGTAGTTGAGGAAACTCTTCCATGGCAAAGAGGATTGGTGCTGTTATGATTCCATGGCGGATATCCGATAGGGAACCCTTTCCGAGAGAGGCAGATGTGCCCGTGAAATCAAGAACGTCGTCTATCAATTGGAATGCTAAACCCTGAACATTTGGAAAGTAGTTAGAGAGATTTGGAAGAAAATCAGTTGCATACATTTTCAGAAGATGGTTAACGAACCAGATTCTTCCCGTACTCAAAAGCTAACACAGCGACTTCGGCTGTTTGACCAGCGAGTAAGGCAATTGCTTTGCAGCTGTTAGAGATTAGTGATGCCGTCTTATAATATGTCTTCTGCATATAATAGTCCATACTGCAGCCACGGAAAACAGATTAAGGATCAAACTTGTTTTGATTCTCAAACATAAAATTGGCAGCATAGAAGACTTGAGCATTCTTTTTTTTTTTAGACTAGAGAAGAAAGTTTGTACCTATGACGCTGCTCGGTTGTACTAGACATTTGCATGGTTTCACCGGTAACAAGATGTTCTACAACAGTTGCAAGTAACGATACAACCTACAAACAAGAGAAACAATGAAGATTTATGGCTTCGAACAAGTGACAGTTAATTATTTAAGACTGATACTGATTTTAAGTTCTATATCAAGGCAGGTTCTAAATACCCTATCCATAACCGTATGTAAAAACAAGTTTCTCAGCATTTTTTTACCTCTGTGTTCTTTAGAGCAGCAAGGGCCACACAAGCCCGAGAGAGCAAAAAGTCTCCTGCTAATACTGATATCTACAAGGTGAAGTCAATGGTGAGCTTAAACAGCTAATCCAAAGATTATAATTAATCAAGTCTTTGGTCTTAGACAGTAGAAGCGTGAGTACCTTGTTACCCATTACAAAGTTCAAGGAACCGACACCACGCCTTGTATCAGCATCATCCAAGACATCATCGTGCAGGAGGCTTGCAACCTACAAAAAAGCCACAGGCATTACTAATTGAAAAAAAAAAGAGGATATTAGATCTTTGATTTATAATGAGTAAACCTATAGTTACTGACATGTATCATTTCGGTGATTTCCGCAACACCCCGTTGCCTTAGGCGTAATTCAGATGGGGCTATAGCTGCTGATTCAGAAGCCAATGCTTCTGGTACGCGTACATTCAGAGCCGTCGCCATCAGCAGCAGAATCTATATACACAAAAAACCACAATGGTTAAAGGTACCAAGAGAGGAAAACGATTCAGAACATGGAACACATGAAAAATAATCATAGTCATTATTACAGTTGGACGAAATTGTTTTCCTTCCACACCCCTTTTGAAGAAGTACTCAGCTGCAGAGGCAAGCTTCGGAACCTGAAACAGCAGAATGAGTTTAGCTTTTCAGAACATCAAATTTGCTTCTGCTATCAACACAATGAGTACAAATGAATGGCAAAAAAAAAGGCTACTTACCTCGGCAACTACCATTGCTCTCAACTTATTGCTAAGAAGTGACAGCTCATCGGCAACAAGCGAAAACGGGTCAAGCTCCTCCTACGAAAGGACAATCTTACTCTTTTAGCAGTCCAAAATTAAGCATATGTGAAAGTTTCAACAATAGAGGATCATATATATATTAAGCTCAATGGAAATAGTGAATAACAAGGAGCTAAGTAAGAACCTCAACTAAGGAGCTGCTCTGATGATAGAGATGATGTTGAAAACCGCCATAAACCGGAGATTTCACTGAATAAGTTCCTCTGCAAACGTAACCCTACCAAAACATCACAAAGAACAACACACTGGTTTATTAACACATGAAATTCAAGATAAACTAGTCCGTTTCTCTATCAAAAATGACACTTATATATATAGCTTGCTCTTGGATGAGTTAATGAATTGAGATTAAACTGAAATGACCCTGGAATCATGGAATAAAACGTACCTCTGTTGCTGAAACAGAATTAAAGCTTTGGGCAGACGCTGCAACAGCAACACGAGACGATTGCAGAACTTTTCCCAATCCCTGAGAGAGAGAGAGAGAGCAATTAAATATAAAACTATCATATTTGGGAAATCTAATCAAAAACAGCGACGAATCTAAACCAAAAGGAACACTAACCGAAGCAGAAGAGCCTCCTCTAGAGGAAGCTCTCCTTATAACAGCACGCAACATCATCGCACCGAATCTCTGTATTATTGTGTGATAGAAAGCAATCAATTGAACGTCGGTGGGATTCAACACTCGTAATCTAACCGGAACGCACGAACATGAGAAACAGAGAACTTTCTCAAAATGAAAACGAATTGGGAAATTTCTCCATCCTAGAACTTTCTCAAAATCAGAAACCCAAAATCCATGAGAAAATTAAGATCGGCAAACGGCACCGTTTGAATTTGGTCGGTCCAATAACGACAAACGATACCGTTTTAATAATAAACAAATGGCCCATAGCTCACCACGTTCTCCAAATTAAATTGTCTATTTAATAAACGCCGTCGTTTGCTACAAGTGTTTACAATAGAACTTTAATACGCAGATGTTGTTTTACAGAATCTAAAAAGCTTTTTCTCACTTCCACATCTTATTCATTTTCCATTTCATCAGATTTAATTTTCACCGCTGAGAAATGTTGTAAACGATAGAAATTTACAATTGATCAACTTTAACAACCTATAAAACCCAAGAGAATGATAATAACTGAGAAAGGGACTAAAAAAACAGATGAAATTAAATAAGAAGGATTCAGACAAGAGTTCCATTTTCAGGTCTAGGAGGTCTCTTTGCAAAATCGAAAAGCATTGAGAACGATTGCCTTGGGCTAGGTTCTGTACTCTTCTGTTCAGTTTCTGATGGAACTCTTTTCTGGTTTCGTTCGTTACCGCGGAAGATGAAACTGAGCCGCCTGAAACGGCGTTTTGTTTCGCTCCCGTTTGATGGCGACTCCTCTGTTTGCTTCATTGTTCTCATTACTTCTTCTGGACGTAATAACATTGTTTCCACGGTCTCGTAGACCTATCAGATAAAAAAAAAAACCAGTCTTATGATTAGTGATCATGATGTTCATTTTACTTTACATAGCCATCTGTTAAAACATTTTTAACTCTTAATTATTTTGAGATTTCCCCAAATATGTATACAAGTTTTTGAAACTTGTGCACAGCTAAAGTAAGTACCTGGCAGAGATCATCAAGCTTATCGCTCAATGCGCCTCCCTGACAAATCGCGACTACATAATCCTTGCATTCGAAGAAAAGCTTTGACAAGTCATCGTTTGTGGCTATTACTGGCTCCAGCATCACAAATCCCAGGCCAAGCTGAAATAATATAAGAACCAACCAATTCGTTCACAGTTGTATAATCAACGACATCAGTTTAACACAACAAAATTTAGAGCATTTGAGACCGTAGTTTCTTCATTTTCCAGGAGATCAAAGAACCATATTTAGTACGACAAGAATTTAGGGGTTTGAGTGTCAACAAACTGCAGTTTATTTTAGAATCTTTGCACACTAACTAAAAACTCTGCTTTTAGACAAAGAAAAGAAAAGATGATATGTGATTTGATGGGGGAACACTTACAAGAGAAACAAACAGCTGCTCGAAAAATTCAGCAGCTGGAATGTCTTCCAAAGAATTCAAGATTCCTTCCCTGTAATAATAGATAATGAGCAACGGGCAAGATCTCCATGAGTGATCACATACAGATTCCACTATGTCTAAAACGACATGATAATTGACACTTACACAGCCAAATCTTCGTCAAAGAGAGGTGCCTGTTTAACCGCAGGCAGTGGTTTAGATGTTTCCCACAGCTCACGCCATAAATTACCTAACAACATACAAAAAAAGTTGCAGAGAAAGTTGAGAGCAGGACTTAACAGAGTACCATTATGGTTTAACACCAAAGAAAGAAGAGGAGAAAAGCCGCACCTTCTTTTTGCATCCTGGTACTTAATTGACCTCGTAGGGGCGAAGACTCGTCTCCAGAAGAGGTATCATTTTCAGTCCAGTCTGGAGGAGAGTGCCATCTCACAAAATCTTCCAAAATACATCCAGGATTTGCTGCCTAACAGAGGTAACATTATAATCATTTTCAGATCATGATCAGAATTTTTTCTTTATGTGAGTGATTATACTACAAAGTACAAAACATCAATAAGATTATTCACTTTCAAATAATCACCTTGAAGGCCTGCATGTCAGACAAGAGTTGAGAACATCCAGCCCCCATGCTGAACATTAAGAAAGACAACAATCCAATAATCTATCAAGATAACTGGATATCTGAAAAATGTCTGAAATATTATTTATTAATGCATTAATTGATATTATTAACCAAGTAACATGTCTAATTTCCATCTAACAGGTTGTATCTGATCTTCATAACATCAACTCAGGATGCAGAAGCAGATTGATTAAGTTTCAAAATTCACATATAAAACATGATCCATCCCAAACATATATCAAATACATCATTTACACAGCCTATAGAAAACATATGAATTGCATATAAAACTGCATTGAATAAATGGATGCACTCACCTCCCTGTTCGAAGTACTAATTCCTCTGTTTCTCTAATAAGATCTTCTGTCAACAATGGACCTTCCTGCATAAATATAAACAGTAGGACTTAAGAAACAGAAAAGGTAGCTACAGTTTATCAACTATGAAGGAAGTTACGAACCTGTGTTATTGGGGCATACACAGGTTCACCAGTTTCCAACATTGTTAAGTTCTCAACTGTATGATGAACGCCTAGGCGGAGTATGGGTTCCCCGGTGTTACTTTTAGCATACAAAAGAGAAACCGGAGAAACCATTGCTTCTGAGGCGTCTGACTCTTCGTTGGCTGAAGTGGCTTGCCTAATCACAGCATCTAATGCTTCAGAAGCAGCTAAGCAACGTGCTTTCCTTGTAAGACAGCAGTTTATAACCTGTAACCATTGGTGCAGAAGGCAACTTTTCAAATCTGGATTCTCGTCCACAGGTATCCATGGTATGTGTTTCTCTTCATTCCAAAATCTCCTCAGCTGCACATGTAGATAATTTGAGAGAGGTTATCAAAGAGCTGCAGTAAGTTAGATTTTGTTGCAGTGACTTTTCCAAGGACCATACACACACCAATAGAGTGAACTATCCACTAATCTTCATTCATATGCATCATACTAGAAATGTGAAGAGGGAATTTAAGTGAAAGACTTGCAACACAATAGCTTACTTCATCAACAACCCTGCCCCAGAACAAAGCCATTCTCCTTGGGGTTGTAAAACTTCCAATTACTTCAGCAAGCTTAACAACAAAGCTACCAGGGGGAGCAGCATGAAGATCTTTTGCGAAAGGTGCTCTGGCAGTAGGAGACTCCAAATCAGAGACAATCATTCTGATGAGGAAGTTACTATCTGTAAATAATTGGCCAAACTTAAAACCAGTGGGAAAATAAAAAGCAGTAACTGGAATATAGTTTGACGAAGAAATTTTTTCCCCGTGTAAGGCAAACGTACCAACATTAAACAAGGAATTTACTAGGGAAACAAGTTTTTCTTCATCTCCTGAATCAAAACCAAGCTTATCCTCTTTTTCACCAAGAACCAGCGATTTCACCGCAGAGAGGCTCAAGCCTCCCCTCTCCCTCACTGGTGACGAACTTCCAGACGATGCAACAAAGTCTTTCAGAGTCTTAGTCCTTTTTCCCGCTCTGAAGAAAAGGAGGTCATAAGAACATAATGAGAAAAAGAGGGAAACATTGCAAAATGCTTTAGTCAGAGAGTATAGAAAAATTTGTAAACACGTATACTTTCAGCCTAATGGGTTATTACAATTTTAAACCTCAGCGAGTAAAATTGAATATTTCGTAAACTTCTAGCCAGAAACTACACGAAAATAAACTCACTCGATGGCTGCAGCCAGCTGCTTCACAATGGATGCTCGAGGAATACTATTCACATCAACGGCATTTAGAGATTCTACCATGTAGCCGACATCAGATGCCTAGAAAATTTGTGATAGAAGAAAATATAATCATTTGACCGCGGAGAAGCAAATAACCTCTTGATTAAAGACAAATAGCATGCTTTGCAGCAAAAATTGATCTGACAAAAGGTGGACCACTGATACCTTGGCTTCTTGTTCTTGCTTTGCTTTAAGAATGAACAAATTTTCGTCATAGAAAGGGGCAGCCATGGTTAAATCCTCAACCTTTTCTTGTTCTTCAACTCCTTTTTTCCCAATTCTTAAGTTTTTCAGTTTATTTTGCCACTCTTGCGTTTTCCTAATATGTGCTGTTCTCCATCCCTGAGGTTTCACTTCATACTCCTCCTGTGACCAACAGTTCCAATTAGCAGAAATTAGAAACAAATGTACCAATGGACAATACTCATATAGCAATCTACTTCATCATTCTACTTCGAAAGCGCACTGGAAATTTCAACTCATAGTTCACAGCTCTATAACAGTCTCCAAATGGTTCAAACAAACTACTTTCTTCTTCTCGTCATCCTATAAAAACACACATTTCTATGCTCTGCAAATTTCTTACCTGGGTGAGCAAATACATAGCTTACTACTTTTCTCAATCCTAAACTACAAAATACAGGTTCAATCCTTTAAAATGTATGATCTTCAACATCATTGATACTCTTTTTCTATTCACTTTCCCAGTTTTTTGTTTTCTTTCTGAAATTAAAAAGCTAGACTCATTTGCCAAAGATGATTATATAAATGTTTTCTGTGCAATGAACGTACCTTATGATCATCCGTCGATTGCTGCTCCGCTTCTTCACCGATTCAAACACAAAACACTCAAGTAAATCAATTAAACATTCACCAAAAACCAACAAAAATACCGAAATAGATTTCAATTTTGACTCCAGGAAGAAAAAAAAATCAATAGAAATGTTTTTGAATTTGACACGAGAGAGAGAGAGAACCCAAAATAGAATTTGATATAATCCAAAACGAGAAAAAGGAATTTAAACAGGAGAGATGAGATAGAAATCAGAGGTGGAGCGATAAGCGTCTATACATCAGTCAAATTATAGTAAATGGATTAGGGGAAAAAAATGAGTCAAATGAAGCGGAAGCTACGGGAACAAAGAGATAAATTACCTAGATCGGATTTGAGATCAGTGAAGACGCGCTCCGCTTTAGCAGCGGCGGAATTGAAGGCGGTTCTAGCTTTGGAGACGAAGGACGGCGGTGCCGTCTCCATTTTCGTGCGCACCTACAGGCGCCCAAAGTTACGAGGTTGGACCTTGTCAATGACACGGCATTGAAAGATTGAGGAAAATGAGAAGACGAAGGAGAAGGAGGAGGTGAGATCAGAGGGGGGAAAGAGATTCTTAGGAAAGTCGCTGTGGAGAAGAAGACGAATTTACGAAGTTCAACACTTGTAATTATTTAAATAGTTTTTTCCTAGATTTAGTTACCCAGAAAAATGAGATAGAGTAATGTTTTTGCAATATACAACTTATGGTACGTGATTTAATATGGAGAAATTGACCAATCCGGATCCTCGTCTTGGGTAAAGCCTTTTAGATAAATCTTACTATATCTATATAAGATTTTTAATATACCTTTTTCTTTTATGGTTGGAAATCATTAAAACATTTCATCCTTGTGATTCTTTTCTTCTTGAAGAAGATGATTTCTATTACATTTTGTCACTCACATGGTTTATATACATTTTTAGTTGTAGTCTTGTAAAATATATTCAACTGTTCTAATGTTGAAGTGGTCCAAACTTCTTTGGTAGAAATTCACCAATTGGGTAAAGTTCCTTACCATAAAAAACATTTGTACGTTGAAGTTGAATATTTCTTTCCAGCTTCCTTGTGGTGTTTCTATAACTTTTTGGTAGGTCCAAACCGATTATAATATTATATGTATATATCAATTTTTCTATGGAAGTTGAAATTTGCTTTTGTGACGACTGATGAGTAACTTACTCAACGTTGCTAGATGTGTCTAATCCTAGGAAAACTCGAGATCATTTAATGTTATTATCTCTGAGACATTTTATTAGTGAATGTCAAGTACAGTAGCCATTAGATTTTGAATTTGAGAACATGTTGATGTTTTGCGTTATAAAGTGACTAGTTGAAATACCCCTCACGTACACAGTGATTTTTATTTTGTTCTCTGTTAGCAACATGTATTCCTCCCGTTTACATTTTGGTGTTGACACAATGAAGCACTAGTACGAATCACACTACAGTACATGTCCAGTAAATTACCAAAGTATAATTTAAACATCTTATATCAAGTGTAATTTGAATGAGTGATGCTTTTATTTGAACATTTTGCATACTATACCCATTCGGATATTACAAATGTTAATTTATAAGTTGAGTAGTATCTTGGGACAGGTAACGAGACAATTAATACAAAAATATGATATAGATAGTAATATAGTATTCACTCCAACACATATAATCAATATGAATATTAGCTAAGCACTGATCCCTTCTGTCTAGGTGTGATGGCCTTAGACAACTCGTAAACTCCTAGTCCTAGTCATAGCAAATCATCAAGGTGTGGAACAATTTGGAATAAGTGCCATCAAGGAATAAGTGCCAACAATTTGGAACAATTTAAACTTCAACAACGCATGTTACTGCATTTTAATCCGTTACAGTCTTGTAAACACATCTTAAGTTAATCTAATATCATTAATCTGTCGTAGTGTAACGGATCGAAAAACAGAAAGGCACCAGTTAAAACTATAAATCCCCACGTCAGCAGCCAAAAGACCACCGGTCTCAGCTGCCACCGCATCCTAAGACCCAAACTTTGTTCTCTTCACCGCCATTTCCACCACCGTGCAAACTCCGTTTGGGAAGTAGCCTTGGCATATTATAAAATTTATAATAAATCTTATTATTATTATTAATTTAAAATGTTATTAATTTGTAATAACACATACCAAAAGTTACCAAGTCAAATGACAAAACTACTAACTCATAATCTTACAACAAACTTATCACATAAATTTATAGTTTCAACCACATAGTTTTTAAAGCAAGTTACATCAGATAATAACATTTGTAATTCAACTTCAACAATGCATGTTAGTACAGTAAGCACCTACTTTATTATATATAGTATGCTAATCTTCTGGTCAGCAAACGAATGCCCCTGAAATGTAGAATTATTCGCTGCTGAAATTTCCCGGACCTAACGTGAATGCAATAGCTAATTTTGACGACGTCTCTTAGTAATTGACCAATTCTAAAAATGACCTCTCACTACGAACAAAAATAGTTATCTGCACTGTATCTCCTTCATTCTAGATCTGCATGCATTTTCAAACATTTTTACATTGTGTTGAGAGATTTCCTGTATTACACGTTAACAAACAACTAAATTGTTTTATGCTTTAGAAACCGGTTACGATCGTTTTTTGTGTGTTTTGGTATGAAATGTCAATTGTAGCACAAAAAGCCTGCGATGGAATTTTGATTGTAGATGGTATAAAAACCTAAATGAATTCGGGATATCTCATTTACCAATAAATCGGTTTTTTCCGTTGGTTTTAAAGCTGCATTAACTACTGAGCAGACCCACATAATCGCATTGAATACAGCTTACGGTTTCTCCTTTGGTGACAATGAGAGACTTCCTCACACGGTAGCATATATTCTCAAGCACCAAACCATCATAGTTCCGACTTCCAACACTGAACCAAGTCAAATTATAAAGTAAAAGCCATATTTCTGTAGTTTGATCTTGCAAAGACATCATTCATTATTCTTGTAAAAATCAAAATGGAAAACTAGCGAATTATTGTAGTTTGATCTTGCAAAGTCATCATATTAATTTTTTTTTAGGTGGGGTTATGCTTGTAGGGTTATTTTAAGTTGTTACGTATTTCCAGACGTGAATTATTGTGATTAATGCCCTTAGATAATTTATCTGGTCTTTCAGTGTACCTTAGTTCAGTTAGTTGTCGGGTCAACAAATCTGAGAGAGAGATCAGATGTACGAAATCATCATTGTTCCAGAACATGCCCATTAAAACTGTTGGTTTTGATTAATACCTCGAATTTACTGCACCAAATTTGCACCTCGCCCCACCCTCCCTGATATATGAATCATGGTTTTCATTATCTCTCTAGTCTTGCCTTATTATGTGATTGTACATTCTGTATCTCAACAGTGTAGGTGATCCACGGATCTCCTCCGTAAAGATTATATGGAAAAGGCCAGAGGAGAGGGTTGAAGAGTGTGATGCATTTAAGGGAGAATGGGTTTTAGAGGTCATTTCTGAGAAATTTGCTGTCAAGAAAAGTGGTGATGCTTGGAGAGTTGTGGTAGACTCTTATCTACCCGTGTTTCACCTCATAGACACAAGACGTTCAATCCCTTGGTCTATGAAGCAAGTGCAAGAGCTTCTTGGAATTGCTTCAACGTTTGAGCAAATAGCTCAGGTATCTAATCCCTCACCCTTAATTTGAAGTCATGATAGTTGTGTTGGTATTTATTGCTCATTGTCTTTTTTTTTCTATCTCTTTTTTGTAGCGTCTCTCTGCTTCAGTGAGAACAGTATCCAAAGGTATCTTAACGCAACATATCCTTCTTCTAGCAAACAACATGCCTCGTTCATGGAATCTCCAGGGTTTTAGTGCTTTACAAGGCTCTGACCAAGTCATTGGACAGCAAAGCAACCTTCGCAGAAGTAACTCTGATAGTAAGTATTGTGGTCCGTAAATTGTGTATTACAGACTTATTCAAAAGATAAATAAGATAAATCTTATCTTTTTTTCTTTCAATTTACATTTTATTCTATGACTGGAAATGGAAATCATAAAAACATTTCATCCTTGTGATTCTTTTCTTATTGATGCAGATGAATTCTGTTTTATTTTGCTCCTTACATGGTTTATATACATTTTAGTTGTATTCTTGTCAACAACATTCGATTTTTCTAATGTTGAAGTGGTCCAAACTCTTTGGTAGAAATTCACCAATTGGGTAAAGTTCCTTACAAAATAAAAACATTTGTGCGTTTTTTTTATGAGGGGTCAAGGGGGAAGTTTGAATATTTCTCTTCAGCTTCCTAATGGTGTTTCTATAACTTGCAGTTGGTAGGTCCAAATCGATTATATGTATATATCAATTTTTATATGGAAGTTCATTTTTGCTTTTGGAAGTTCAATTTTTATAGTAACTCACACAACGTTACTGTTTTGAATTTGTTGCCATCAATTACAGTAGCCATTAGATTTTTAATTTGAGAACATTTTGATGTTTTGCATTATACCAAGTGATTATAATTTTTTTTTTTATATATGATCTGTTAGCAACATGTATTCCTCCGTTTACATTTTTGGTGCTGACACAATGAAGCACTAGTACGAATCACTATAGTACATGTCCATTAGATTATCAAAGTAGAATTTGAACATCTGATATCAAGTGTAATTTGAATAAGTGATGATATTCAAACATTTTGCATACTACGCATTCGGATAGTACAAATGTTTATAAGTTGAGTATCTTGGGACAGGTAACGAGACAATTTATACAAAAACGTGATAGATCGTATTCACTCCAACAGATAATCAATATGAATATAAGCTAAGCACTGATCCCTTATGTCTAGATGGCCTTAGTCAACTCGTCAACTTCTAGTCCTACTCATAGCAAATCATCAAGGTCAAGGTGTGTGGAACAATCTGGAATAATTAAGTGCCATCAAGGAAGAAGCTATTCCCTTATTTCTCTGGAAGATTGAGTTTAATAGAAAGCAGACAAATCAATATCAAGCAAAGACAATCAATGATTGGTTTTTTGATTCGGTCCAAAACAGTACCTTGGTTCTCGAATGGTAGTATATTTGCGTAAAGATTTCGTAAGTAACAGATATATAAAACATTAACGAAAGACTATCAAGTTGCGGGGATAGCTCAGTTGGGAGAGCGTCAGACTGAAGATCTGAAGGTCGCGTGTTCGATCCACGCTCACCGCATTCTTTTTTTAATATATTTTTCATAACTACAGTAGCTTCTGAGTTTTGAGTCAAGAAAACCGTTTCCCAGAGACGCCCAAGTCACATTACTCTCTCGTAAAAGAAATTTAAAATCATAAAGTAATATATTTAGTGACATTTATAACGTTCGATTACATTTAATTGTTTAAAAACATTTAGGGACATCTCAAAGTCTCATTACTACGTACGGCTACTGATATACTCCAGTGATCTCAATATCTCATTTATGATTTAACTGTTTAAAAACATTTAGGGATGTTGTGTTAACTTTGTAAACACATTTGAAGTTAATATATCTAACATCAACTTAACCTGGTTAATTTGAATGAGATGGATGCTTCTTCTTAAGTCGTTCGAGAAGATCAGTAGTTTAACTACGAGACGATGCGGCTAGAAATGGGCAATGGAGTATGCGTGGAGCTCGATCTGAGGAGATGGAGCTATTTCAAACTTTTCTCACAACAATGTCTGCGCCGGAGGCACAACGTGGAACTGATATCTATCTATGGCGCAACAGAGCGGGGGAATATAAGAGAACTTTCTCTTCCAAGTCGACTTGGGAGCAACTTAGAGATCACTCTCCAGCTGTTAATTGGTTTAAGACAGTTTGGTTCAAAGAATTTGTGCCTCGATGCTCTTTCATTACTTGGCTGGCAGTGCAGAACAGGCTTCCAACAAAGGACAGGCTTCGGAATTGGGGACTTAATGTCCCGGCGGCATGTGTTCTGTGTATCTCCGGAACGGAAACACATGACCACCTCTTCTTTGATTGTGAGTTTTCTCGGGACATTTGGCGAGATCTAGCTTCTCGGATTTGGCAGAATCCTCCTCTAGATCTATCCTCGGTTATAACTTGGATTCTCCAGCCTCGACCCAGTCCTCATGCTTCAGCTTCAGTCATCATCAAACTCCTCTTCCAAGCGGCAGTTTATCTGATTTGGAAAGAGCGCAACTCAAGGATTTTCAAGAACATCTCTTCAACTTCCGGCGCCATAAGAGTCTCCGTTGATCGACTCATTCGAGACCGTCTCCTCTCCCTCCCTTCCACCGATGGAAGCCCTTCTCTCCTTGAATTTTACTTTGGTTGTATTAAATTATTTCCTTAATTTCATGTCTGTCGTCCTCTCCACAAATAAGTTACACTTATGTAACATGTAAACTCAGAAAAAGGTATAAATCTTAACATTTACACCGAAAAAACTACGAGACGTTGTAGTTCGATTTTCATTTACTGTGACCTGTACTTAACAACTAAACCATAAGATACTTGGTGAAAATTTTATAATGCATGGCTCGTTATTACTGAAAACAAGGTGTACTTTACAAGTTAAAGACTTTCAAGTCATATACATCGGAATTCAGTTCAGAAATCTAATAAAAAAAATGAGTTGTGTAAAGCAAAGAAACGTGTGCACTAAGGAATGCAAATGGCAACGTGTTACTGAGTATTAATTATACTACCGGATCGAAAAACAACAAAGCAGTGGTTAAGTATAAAAATCCCATCGTGAGCAGCCAAGAAACCACCGGTCTCACCTGCCACCGCAGCCCAAACTTTGTTCTCTTCACCGCCATTTCCACCACCGTGCAAACTCCGTTTAACGTAAAGAAGACGGTGAGCTCCCATGAAGGTGTCTCACGAGTCAAATAGAAGTGCATGAGCTCGTGAAACACACCTGAGACGATGAACGTCGCAAGAAACCCGATCAATCTAGCACGATCAGAGCTCATTAGGCGTCCACAGACACGCCGCAGAGGAGCGTAGATTCCTGACCTGAGAATCGATGAGACCATTGGGTTCCAGCGTCGACCCCAAAAGTCTTGAAGAGATGTGGCTAAGTATGGCTCGTTGAATATTGGCTCTAACTCACACCCAAGAGTGATCGTGGCCAGAAATTTGAGGAGGGCTAAGATAATCTCAAGTTCCAAGTACAAGTGCCAAGGACGGAGACCTAGCCGCATAATTCGAGGTAGGTTGTGATTGTTGCAATATAATTTTAACATAACACCATAGATTGCAACTTTAATGCCGAAAACCCATTTGGGGAAAAGGTTTTGAGATTTAGGATTTTTCTGAAGCTTGATAGGCAAGCAAGTGAAGCATATGAATCTGGTGAGGTTTGTTGGAAGTGGAAAAAGAGGACCTTGATCAAAAGCGAAGAGGATGAGCTTTAAACTGGCAAGTCCTGGGAGGCAAAACGCTGTGATTGAAACGAAGATCTTTGAGGACGAGAAGAGAGGGAGAAGGAAGAAGAGAGCACATACGGGAGTGATAGAGAGTAAACGAAGAACACCAGCTTTGATTCTGGATGATAAATAGTAACTGTACGTTACAGAGATTATCGCAGAGACCCATACTTTGATGAAAATATTCAGTTCGTCATCCATCTTTTAGATCTTTCTCTGCCTTGCTGAAGAGTCTTTGCAACACCAAATAGCCGTGGTGTTTTTATTTTAACAAGGTGGTTGCGTGGATTAAAAGTAATTACATTAATGAATTAAACATTGGGCCAAGTAGACAATTACGGCAAGGGTCTACGGTTTGATTCTACTTCTACGTTCTATCTTCTGAGTCTTGCTTTAGCGTCCTTCTTGCTCCTCATCCGATTAATAAACATCCTTGGCCAGAGATAGATTTTGAAAGATTGGAGTAACTTTGGACACTTAGATTTGGGATTATGGCAACATAAACAATGACTGTTTCAAATCCGTCCCTCGAAGAAGCATTTCAACGATGTTGTCTGGTTAACTTAACTAAATTAACATTAGTAAAACGTAAGATTGAGATAGAAGCTTATGACTAGAAAATGCATACAAACGCATGCGTTTGTATGCATTTTCTAGTCATAAGCTTCTATCTCAATCTTATCGCTACCTAGTCGCCCTTAGCTTCATTGCAGAGTGCTACACAAAGTACCGAAATATCGATTGTCTATGTTTCCATGTTTTTTACCTTTTTTTGCAATAGGACCAATTTGTAATGTTAAACATTTTGTTATCACAATCTGTAAAACAAACCTTTTCATTTTATAATTTTATAATGAATATTTACAATTTAACAAAAAAAAGCATGAGTTTAGAAAACACACAAACCATGTTGAGAACAAAAAATTAGAGAGAAATAATGTAATGAAGATAGAAAATACGTAACTCAAATTTCCATCATTCCAAAGACTTGTTGAGGAGAAGTGGTAATTTCTTCTCGTAGTCCAGCCAATTTTCATTTTAAAAATATAAAGACTGAAAAAACACGTCAAAAATGGTTACATTACCTAAAAGTCTAAAACCATGAAAATAAAAAATACGGAGTACTAATCTGTTAAATGAAATATTTGATGTTTTCACTCATTGTCTGCATGTTTCTTTTTGCTTGGTGGGAAATCCCAAGCAAAATGCAATATTTTCACCAGAGTTTTGATTTTCTTGTTTTGCGGTCAAATCCCCTTACATGTACATTATCTGCACGAAATAAAATTGATTACATGAAAAACAAATCAATTATTCAATCCTCTTAACCAACTTAGTCTATTTTCAATACTTTTGAAATCAACATTTTACTTCACTAAAACCAAAACATTGTGTTACTGATTTTTGTATGTTCTTAGTGGAATCCAAATAAAAGTTATTGGTAAATTTAATGCAACAAGATTTGTGTTTGAAAAACATTAATGGTTTAGTACATCTATCTCTGTCTTAGACAAAAAGAAGCTTGAAACATAGAAACATTGAATACGATTTTTTTTTTGGTAAAAATGTTAACATTGAATACGATTTGTACCAACAAATTTGCTTTGATGATTTTCCTTGTAGTTCAAAGGTTTTTCACTATATTAAAGTATATTCTCATAATGTTTACATATTACATATTTCTGTTGTTAGCGGAAAAAGAAATGATTTCGTTCAATCAATGTTCAACATTTTTATATTGATGAAAAATTGGTTGTGAAATCGATGAAAAATGGTTCAAATCGATGAAAATTAATAAGGACAATGAGACTTTTATGGATGACAATATCATCTTCAAGTTTGATGAAGTGCAAACATGGTACGGTTCTATTAGACTTTTCATAATAGACAACTGCATATGATAGCATAATAAGCTTACACAAATAAAATAAACATAAGTATAGATACATAATAATGCAAAGCTTCTACAACTAAGAAAAAGTTTCAGCTAAAACAATATTGAGGTTTCTTTAAAAAAATAATATTAAGAGTTATTAGACTATAGATATCGACTGAGTTACATATAGTTACATTAATTTTCTCAATGTTTGTTTTATCTTTTAGCTAGTTTAAATAGTTTAGTATGGGTAAATGTGTAGTTGATGTATATAGTAATGTAGTTAAGTAATTTTTTTATATAAAAAGCCGAAATAAAAAATGTTTTGAAAGTTACAATTTAATATGTGTTCAAAAATTTGCTAACCTAGCGCATAATCAGTTAATTTTTGTTAATTGTATAGTTAGAGACTTGACTTATTTTTAAAACTGATTAAAGGTTAGTTTTGGATATAAGGTTACCTACAATCACAATTCATGATATGTTGCCCATGTGTTATCCTAAATTTATTATATGTACTTTCTAAACATTTTTCATTTTCTCTAGATCACTAAATATATATTTAGTAAAGAGACTAAAAATCGCTAGAGAATTTGCTAAAGGGGATTCTAAGAAGACTAAGCACCTCTCATTTTCACTAATCTGTAGCCCTTAGTGTTTGGGAGCCCACAAATTAATCGTTTTTATATTCTCGTTATGCAACACAAAAGCCCTGCGACCAAATAAAAGAAAAACAATTCTTCCTCGAGTCAAGGATGAGGTAACACATATCTTGATCCGGGACCGGCTCCATTTTGAGATAACTCTTTAAAGCTTTTCTTGAATCAAATTTTACAATAGAGTACTAGACACAATAATTTTAGCATAGCTATCACCGACCACAAACTAAAACTAATCAGACTAATATATATATAGTAATATAGATATATATGAACAAAGCCTTTAACTAAAAAAATACGAACAAAGGCAAGATGTTTTATAAAAACGTTCTATGTATGTAGTACAATTATAATCGATTAGATCTGTTGGTTACTGAATTAGTTGGTACTTCTCTAGGGACAGAGTTCGATTCCTGCTATGAATATATTTTTTATGTCTCTTTATTTATTTATTTTTCCTTTAGTAATATTTTTTTTTAACAATTTGTACCATACTTTTATTATTTTCTATTGGTGCCCCATACAAATATTGCTTCTAGATCCGCCCCTGGATGTTACGCTAACATGGGGATAAATTACAACCAGAAAGAAGAGATAAAGAACAACGAATTTGAAAAACAATTAACGATTCGAGAGCAAGGCATCAAACATTGAGCAAACCACAAAGAAGCTCGAGTCATCCTATCTCAATCAAAATCGTATATGTGCAAAAACGTGAAACGGGAACAGAAAAATCGTACAAAAGACTCAAGGCAAATAGCATTGCCATATTATGAAATTTGTAATAAATCTTATTATTAATTTTTAATTATACATGCCAAAAGTTACCAGGTCAAATGACATAACTACTAACTCATAATCTTACGACAAACTTATCACATAAATTTAAGTTTCAACAACATAACTTTTACTGCAAGTAACATCAAATGATAACACTTGTAATTAAACTTCAACAACGCATGTTACTGCATATTTAAATCGTTACAGTCTTGCAAACACATATTAAGTTAATCTAATATCGTATCTGTCGTATTGTAACGGATCGAAAAACAGAAAAGCACCAGTTAAAACTATATGTGAAGTTGTGCTTCGGATCGTCCAAGCTTTCTTGAATAGAGAGCCAATGTTTACGTCTAATTAAAAAAGAAAATGAATCGTAACGCAAACAAACGTGTTCACAAAGGAATGCAAATGACAATGTGTTACTGCATGCGTATTATACGAACGGAAAAAACAGAAATCCGGTCAAAACCAAAAACCCCATCGTGAGCATCCAAGAGACCACCGGTCTCACCTGCCACCGCAGCCCAAACTTTGTTCTCTTAACCGCCATTTCCACCGCCGTGCAAACTCCGTTTAACGTAAAGAACACGGTGAGCTCCCATGAAGGTGTCTCACGAGTAAAGTAGAAGTGCAGAAGCTCGTGAGACGCACCTGAGACGATGAACGCAGCAAAAAAACCCATCAATCTAGCACGATCAGAGCTCATTAGGCGTCCACAGACTCGTCGGACAGGAGTGTAGACTCCTGACCTGAGAGTCGATGAGACCATTAGGTTCCAGCGGCGACCCCAGAAGTCTTGTAGAGATGTGGCTAAGTATGGCTCGTTGAATACTGGCTCTAGGTCACACCCAAGAGTGATCGAGACCAGAAATTTGATAAGGGTAAAGAGAAGCTCAACTCTCAAGTACATTTCCAAAGGACGGAGAACAAGCAGCAGAATTTTAGGTTGATTGTAACAATCTACTTTTAACAAAACACCAAAGATTGCAACCTTAATGCCGAGAACCCATTTGGGGAAATGGTTTTGAGATGGGTGAGATTTAGGGTTTTGTTGAAGCTCGACAGGCAAGCAAGTGAAGCATATGAATCGGGGGAGATTTGACGGAAGTGGGAAAAGAGGACCTTGATCAAAAGCGAAGAGGAAGAGCTTTAAATTGGCATGGAGGCAGAACGCTGTGAATGGGATCATATAGAGTTTCCTTGAGGAAGAGAAGAGAGGGAGAAGGTAGAGGAGAGCACATACGGGAATAATAGAGAGTAATCGAAGAACACCAGTTTTGATTCTGGATGAAATATAGTAACAGTAGGTTACAGAGATTATCGCATAAACCCATACTTTGATGAAAATCTTCAGTTCCTCATCCATCCTTTTTTTTGTTCTGCGTTGCTGATGAGTGTTTGCAATACCCAATAGCCGAGGTGTTTATAAATTGGTGGTTGCGTGGACTAAAAGTAACTACGATGAATTAAACATTGGACTAAATAGAAAATTACTGCATGGCACTAGGTTTACAGGTAGTAGACAACGAAGAACCAGGCTTGCGTCCACGTTAGATCTTGTAACCAATTTTGTACGTATACTTTGATTATACAAATCAAGTTTTAAAAAGATCCATTTTCATATTTGATTATCCAATCTTTCGAAAACGACGCCGTATTGATGAGTCTTTGCGATACCCGATAGCCAATGTGTTTTAACTTGGTGGTTGCGTGGACTGAAAGTAATTACAGTTAATTACACAATGGGCCAGATAGAAAACTATGGCAAGTTGTTTTACAGGTAGTAGACAGCGAAGAACCACGCTTGCTTCTACGTTCTATCTCATGAGCCTGGCTTTAGCTTCCTTCTTGCTCCTTCTGATCCAATCAATGCACATCCTTGGCCATAGATAGTTTTGAAAGCTTATAAATTTTGGTCTGTTGCCCAACCAAGATTGAGAATCTAAGATAGAAGCTTATAATTAGAAAATGCATACAAATGCATGAGTTTAATTTATAAACACACAACGAAAAAAATAGAGAAAAAAGTAATGTTATGAAAACAGAATTTACAATACATAACTCAAATTTCTATCATTCCACAGACTTGTTGAGGAGAAGTGTTAATTTCTTCTCGTATAGAGTCCAACAAATTTTCATTTTTAAAACATTAAGACTGAAAAACAAAATCGCTAGTGAATTTGCTAAAGGGGATTATAAGAAGACATAAACACCTCATATTTTCATTAATTAATCTGTAGTTCTTAGTGTTTGGGAGCCAACAAATCGTTTTTATATCCTCGTTATACAACACAAAAGCTCTGCTTGCAGCCTTGCGGCCAAAGAAAATAAAAAGAATTCTTCCTCGTGTCAAGGATGACGTAACAGTAACACACATACCTTCATCTGGTACCACTGATCCATTCTGAGATAACCCTTTTAAAGTTTTTTTGAATCAAATTTTACAATAAAGTAATAGACACGAGAATTTTAGCATACACAGTACTGATATTCAAAGCTATCACCAACCACAAACTAAAACTAATCAGACTAAAATATGAACAAAGTTAAAATGTTACGCTTATATGGGGATTACAACCAGAAACAAGAGATAACAAACATGAAGCAACGAATTTGAAAAACAATTAATGATTCGAGCGCAATACATCAAACATTGAACAAACCACAAAGAAGCTCGAGTAACCCTATTTCAATCAAAATCGTACATGTACAAAAATGTGAAACGGTACAGAATAATCATACAAAAGACTGATCAAGGCGAATAGCATTGTCATATTATGAAATTTGTAAGAAATCTTATTATTATTATTAGTTTTTAATAAGAGAAATTTTGGAAATATACTCTTTTATGTGTTTTTAATTTGAAAATTACCCTTATTTTTTTTTGGTTTTGAAAAATACACTTTTTATATGTGAAATGATTTCTTAATTGTCACTGAAGTTTTCAATAAAAACGAAATTCAAATAAGAAATATAAATATTATGATTTGATAATAATTTTATTTCATTTTAAAATACTAAACCATCTAATTATCTGTTTAGATTTTTAAAAAAAATCAATAAAAATATAAGGTTGTTTGTTTATATAAAGTTTCAAAAATATTTAAATTTGTCTCAAGATAAACATTAAAAATGAAAGATATATTTCTTCCACTTTTAAATTTTTAATAATTTATAAAGTTTAAATATATGTAAAATTTAGTTTGGTTGTAATGTGTGTGAGATTAAGTTGTTTATATAAAGGTCCAATTTAAAATTTGTTTCAATTTAACATATACTGTATTTATCTGAAAAAAAATCTTATTAATTATATTATTTTTGAATTTCGTTTTTAAGTTGTAATTATTTATTATTATTTTGTTTAAATCAGGTCAAAACAGACTTTTTTACATTTTAAAGTGTATTTTTCAAAACAGAAAAAAAATCTAGGGTATTTTAAAAAAATTTAAACATAAGTAGGGTATTTTTCAAAAAATACCATGTCAAATGACAAAACTACTAACTCATAATCTTACAACAAACTTATCACATAAATTTTTAGTTTCAACCACATAATTTTTACATCAAATTATAACACTTGCATTTTAAACCGTTACAGTTTTGCAAAGACATATTAAGTTAATCTAATATCGTATCTGTCGTATTGTAACGGATCGAAAAACAGAAAAGCACCAGTTGAAACTATAAATCCCCACGTCAGCAGCCAAGAGACCACCGGTCTCAGCTGCCACCGCATCCCAAACTTTGTTCTCTTCACCGCCATTTCCACCACCGTGCAAACTCCGTTTAACACAAAGTACGCGGTGAGCTCCCATGAAGGTGCGTCACGTGTTAAATAGAAGTGTATAATCTCGTGAAAAGCAAACCTGAGACGATGAACGCCGCAAGAAACCCGATCAATCTAGCACGATCAGGGCTCATTAGGCGTCCACAGACTCGCCGCACAGGAATGTAGACTACTGACCTGAGATTCGATGAGACCATTAGGTTCCAGCGGCGACCCCAGAAGTCTTGAAGAGATGTGGCTAAGTATGGCTCGTTGAACTGTGGCTCTAGGTCACACCCAAGAGTGATCGTGACCAGAAATTTGATGAGGGCTAAGAAAATCTCAAATTCCAAGTACATGTGCACAGGACGGAGACCTATCCGCAGAACTCGAGGTAGGTTATGATTGTCACAATAAAAATTTAACAAAAGACTATAGATTGCAACTTTAATGCCGAAAACCCATTTGGGGACAAGGTTTTGAGAATTAGGGTTCTGCTGAAGCTTGATAGGCAAGCAAGTGAAGCATATGAATCGGGTGAGATTTGATGGAAGATGAAAAAGAGGACCTTGGTCAAAAGCAAAGAGGATAAGTTTGAAACTGGCAAGTATTGTGAGGAAAAGCGATGTGAATAAAATGTGATTCATTAAGGCCAAGAAGAGAGGGAGAATGAAGAAGAGAGCACATACGGGAATGATAGAGAGTAAACGAAGAACACCAGTTTTGATTCTGGATGATATAAAGTAACAGTAGGTTACCGAGAT